CTTCCCAACTCCTCCAACCCCCCCCCCCCTCCTCTCTCTCTTTCCTCCGTAAAAAAACCATCCTCTCTAAAACAACACGCTTCTACACACATAGACTATCTCTATCTATATATTTTTGAACAATATAGATACTTATTTACTGTTTAGTGTTTAGTGTTTAGTGATTGATGATTGGTGATTGCTGTTTAGGGATGTGATATATGGGTGTTTTGGGAAGAGAGGAGGGGCGGGGGGGGAGAAAAGGGGAGGGGATAGGATAGGATGGTGGAGGGGATTTTGCAATAATAATGAATAAGACTACTAAAGACGTGATACCTAGAGGAACTTGCAGCAATCCGTAACCGGACATTATGTGTGTGTATGTGTCATGGAGTAGATTCAATTGTCCTCTATCCATCTAAATGCTATTGTTTGTTTGTTTCATTGTCATTATCATCAATAGACTTGATTGATCGAGAGTGGCCAGCCCGGATTCTCATCCAGGACCACTCGTTTCCAAGACATGTCGTACTGTCGCGCACGCGTCTTCCTTATAACTGTCCATCACCACCGCCCTCTGCGAGTGGTCAACGAACCCCTTCCTTCCCCCTTTCCATGCTGGCCGTTTTTCCAGATCAGAAGAAACGTGCAGTGGGATTCTCGTATGCAACGAAATCGTGCAGTCACGACTCGGTCGTGACCGCGGGGCCGCGGATTCGGCGTCGTGTGGTGGTGCGTCAGGAAACCAGCCTGACGCCCGGTGTTATCGCAAATAGATGCATGGTCGCAAAGAATAGCAGGCAGGCACGTGTGCTTTTGCTTTCCCCCCACTCTCTTTCTTCTCTTCCGTGATTCATTCATCATCTTCTCACGACGAGCCCGTGACGGCGAGAGCTGCCGGGGATGTACTCTTCCTCGCCGCCGGAAGAACAACAAGAACTTGAGTCGTCACTGTAGCCACAGCGGGAGCCCCCACAGTCGAGCTTGACTCTGTCTCCTTTGCGCGTAATGCCGTAACGTTGACAAGTACAGCCCGCGGAAGAAGAACGACTGCTGCTGTAGTCGCTGAGAGAACTGGCGGAGCTCGGGGAGCTGCTGTCCGAGCGGCTTGACAGACTCGAGCCCACTGATGAAGGTGGAGAGCCCGCGAGGTCGTAGCCATAATCGTCCTCGATTGAAGTGGCGATGAAGCGAGATGTGAGCTCATCGACTGACGGTGCGCCATAATCGGCTTCCAGAATATATTTGGTCGCGTGTGGAGAAACCGGTTTCGGCGACTGGATCTGGGAGATAGATAGAGGTCGGCCCTTTGGGATGTCGACCGTCAGGTGACTGTCACGGCGAGAGTCTCTTCTCGACGACGAGGATGTATGATGGTCGCGAGCAGAGGAGCTCTTGGATGATCCCTTGGATCGATCCGAGGTATGCCTTGACGAGCTGGTTTTTGAGGAAGAGTGCTTGCTGGAGGACTTCTCGTGTGGAACATCAAGGATGTTCAAGATGCGTCCAGTGGTAGGTTCGGTAGTAGAGGGTTGTCCAGGGTCGTGCGATACATGGTATCCATCGATGATGTAGTAGTACCAGTATCGCTGTCCGGGCTGGAGAGTGGCGCCCTGGAATCGGAATGTACCTTTCCAACCACCCGATTTTGAAGAAGACTTGTCCTTAGAGAGTGGAAGTTGTCCGGCGTAATGGTCCCAAGAACCAAGAAGATGGACGGTCTTTACGCCAGACGATGTGCGCAAGGAGAACGATAGTTGAACGGATGCCATTTTGAGTGCTAATTAATGCAACTGAGGGATGGAACTTTGGTGCAGATTTGTTCGAGCAAGAAGAGCTAGTTCTGGGGATTGTTCGGTGATTAGGATGGTGAAGATTATGAAGTTGACCAGCAACTTGTGATATTAGAACGTAGGTGTGGATTTGATATTATGAGCACAGCTCGAGGGCGGAATAAGCAACAAAAAAAAGGGACGATAAAAAGGGACAGCGGGAGGGTAGGGAACTAGCTCTTGTAAACTGACTGCTTGCTGAAGAGAGAAGAGAGGGAAATGCAACTTGGGGTACGAGGCAGCTTTATGGTGGCCAGCCAGAGGCCGCTCAGCCATGGTTGCCATCACGCGAGTGGTGGGTGAGGGGATGAAAGCTCAGTGACGGGCATTTGCACTCCAACACAGCATGAACATCATCTATTGGTCGATGCAGCTGACTCGAGAGACTTCTGCAGAGTCTCAGCGCGTAGGCATTGTGCACTCGGGAACTAGACGAGTTTGGGGTGCTGGCGACTAAATCCCTGAGCCCAGCAGCCATTCATGAGCGAGAGGCACCCTGGTGAGCATCCTCGCTTATGGCGCCTTATCAACGTCGACACCCCTCGTTGGACGAGAAGACGTACTGAGAGAAAACCCCGCCAATGAACACCACCAGCAAATACTGCATGGAGGAGAAAATGGCTGGGACTTAGACGAGGTAACTGCCGCCAAAAGGCGTGAAGAGAGAGGGAGAAAAGGCAGAATCGATAGGTTTAGCCGGGAGGAGCGACGGATAAGGCCGAGTGCCCGAGAGGGGTAGCCCAGCTGTCAGTAGAGATGATTTGCATGATGAACTTGCGACGAACTCAGGAGAAGCTCAGAAAGATGCTTGGGCCTTGGTCCCCATCAATTCGGGTATGAGGCGCCATGTAAGGGAGAGACTTCGTACCGGACTTTTCGTTGAACGGATGAGAAGAGACGCAAGGCAGGGGATTCTGGCGGTTCAAAATAACAGCCTTAAAATCATACCGTCGCAATATTGGTACAGCAAACACGAGGACAGATTGAGTAGCTCTGCATCTTGGGGGCGTCACTTGAGGCCGGACACGGCTGGGAGCAAGCCACTGCATGTCAGATTCTTGCTTCCCTTGATGAGATGTAGAGGCCAGGAGAAGGAAAGCAGAAAAGAGGGTGTCCCCACGTTGCAAGGTGGTGTAATGAGATGCACATCGAGGCGCATTGTGATTCTGTGCATGACTTTAGACTCGGCGGGTATAGCTAGACAGACGTTTCGCTGCAGGAACGGTCAGCAGAGATGTGCTCGTGGTGTTGACGATTGTAAGCCGGCCAACCCGTGGAGGGTACTAATAATGCAACTGTCCAGATGGGAGCCAGCTAAAAGTCGTTGGAAGCTGGAGACGGGGAGGAGTGCCTTCAACCCAGGAATTCGGGGATTGATATTGCTGATTCCTTTTATATAAGGCATGAAAACTCGTGACCAGTTTATCACGTGAAAGTTCCACTCAGGTGGATATCTACCTCCCTTACCTACCTCCTCTGCTTGTGAAGGTAAGTTGCAGATGCGCGTCCAAGAATCGATAAATGGAGGGGAATGGGTTTGGTCATCGATGATGTACCTACTCAGGTTTCTCCCGTACGTAGATAACAGGTATTGATATAAGCTGACAACGTGCGCCAGATCGTTGTTCGACATTGAGCTGATGTGCCCGCAAAAATGACGATGCCACAGGAGATAACGGACGGACATGGAGATCAAGGCTCTCCCCTCGGCGTAGCGGATGACTTACATGTGTGGCCCGGCCCATAAGTTCACGGGTCCTGCACGAAGAAGTATGGAGTAACTCGTAGACCTTGAGGATGATCATGACCAGCAATTCATGCCCCTTATCTACTAGGTAGGTATAGAACCTTGCCAACGACCCAACTGCGTCTGCCATCGGGTAAAGGCGCAAAGGAGGTGGGTAGAGTCGAGAACGGTTTGTGGCAGTGTTGGAACTGGCTGAACCCTGAAGGGGGTTGAGGAGTCGAGGAGTCGAGAAGTCAAGAAGGTCGAGAAGTCGAGAGCACCAATGAGGTCATCCCAAGGTCGATTGTACCAAATGAGGCAATCCGCAGAGGCCCATGCTGTCCCATCACTGCCCCTCATTACTGGCCGTCGTTGCTTTCTCCCTTCTCCATCCTGGTATACATGGGAAACGTTCCCGACGCGGCCCGATGATGAGCGTATACCCGCTTGCGTATACGGTATACGAGGAACCCGTAGTAGCCGTGCCGAAAAAGACGCGGAGGGGAGGGATGGCTAATGATGTCGCGACCGAGTGATCCTCTCCATACACGGGTGGCGGGCACAGTCAGCCGTGCATCACATGGTGGCGAGAGGGCGGATAAGTGGGAGGAGATACAAAGGGAGATGCAGAGAGAGAGAGAGAGAGATAGAGACCCATACCGGAGTAATGAAAGGTCCATCCCAAAGTAATGAACTCCATACACGAGTTCCATATGATAGTCGTGTTGGAATCTGACGCCTTGGAGCCTTACGACGTCCGGCGTTGGATGCCCTGGGGGAACCCTGTGGGTGGATGCACACTGGATGCACTGAATGGGGGCTGAAACGGTGGGACCTGACCGTTGCATGCTTATCCGTGCTATCGATAGGCCAGATACGCGAGGTCGGGGCAACGCGGGCCATCTGTCCAATCAGATGGAGAGAGACGCCCCCACTCACACCGCCTCTGACGACGTTCCGCGCGACGTGCGCGATATGCCGCAAGCAGCCTAGCCCCGGCAGGATTACGGCGGACGCCGTACCACATACCACGTACCAGACTCGTGCGGTGGACGGTAACCGCGAGGAATCCCGGGCAAACATTCATTCGCATGTGTTTTCTGTTGTGGCATCCCATCATCCATCATCCATCATCCATCAGCCAAGGTACCTAATCATCATATACCGTAATAACAAATATCCCCCCGGGACCTGACCAGCCACCGCCCCGCCGTCCCGCCCAGTGGACTTCGCACGTTGTTCCTGCGCGCATCCACCGCCATCGCGGGAAGGCTTTCGTGATGGCATCCCTCTACGTCAGTGATCTCTCGGACGCCGTTTATATCTCCGTGGCAGAGCGGCGCGTCCTCGATCAGCGTCTCCTGCCTCTGGTCAACAGTGGGGCCCTTCAAGACACGCGGGGCAACTGCACAGCCCTTCCTTCCCTTCCAGTCCTTCCAGTCGTTCCTTCCCTTTCCTGCTTGTCCTGCCAAGGCAATCCTGGCCTAGCTCCAGATTGGGCAAGAACAGATGCGTCTCGCGTTTGCTGGCCATGCCATCTTCTCCAGATTCTTAAGCTATAAGACCCACCGGCCCCCCCCGACCCCTCCTGTCCATCAGTTTCCTCTTCCTCTTCTTCCTCTCCTTCTCCTCCATCTCTATATATTCACATATCTATATCTTATATATCCATCTCTCTCTCTCTCTCTCTCTCTCTCTCATATATCAATCAACATCTCTACCTCTCCATATCATTCCTGCTTGCCCGGCTGCTCCAACGACAGCACAGAGTCAGACAGACCTCTTCTCCGTCTGCCTCAGTTGACTCCCAATCAGGGCGCTATCCCAGATGGCACCCCCCGACATGCTGTCCCCGCTGTCACAAGCTCCCTTGTTACCGACGGGCAGGCCAGCTCTTCGTCGCCTCTCTTCCATGACAGCTACCGAGGGCATCATCAACGCTGGGGGCCCGGTGGTCGTAGTGCCAGAGAGACTTATGCATCGCCGCTCCAAAACACATGATCCTCGTGGTTTTGCCGGCGCTTTGGAGTCAGCTAGGAACGAGCTCGCTTCGATGAACTTGGAAGAGGATGGTAGTCCTGCCTCTCTGTCGGAAAGCTCGCCAGACACCCCTGGCACCCCAGCTTCTCCCCCAGAGGTCCCGAGTGCAGATTCGTTTGCCTTTGCTTTCGATATCGACGGTGTGCTCCTCAGGGGTGGACGACCCATCCCCGAAGCTATCGAAGCTATGAAGGTTCTGAACGGCGAGAACGAGTATGGCATGAAGATGTGAGTCTGTTCTCGCTTGGATCCAGGGGTTCATTCTGACATTCTCCAGCCCTTACATCTTTCTCACGAATGGTGGCGGCAAGACAGAAGCAGAACGTTGCATTGACCTGTCTCGTCAACTTGACATTGAGGTTTCACCCGCGCAGTTCATATGCGGTATGTATTTTATGGCAACCCTCTATAGTCTCATTGCTGACGGTTGGAGGCCACACACCGATGCGAGAGATGGTTGAAAAGTACCACACTGTCCTCGTCGTGGGGGGCGAGGGAGAGAAATGCAGAGAAGTAGCAGAGGGTTATGGCTTTAGAGACGTTATCACTCCAGGTGATATCATCAAGGATAACGAGGCTACTACCCCTTTCCGCAGACTTACCAACGAGGAACGCAAAAACTCCCGCAAACGTGATTATGGCTCGACCAAGATTGAAGCAATTTTTGTGTATGTCGCTTTCCGGTTAAACCTCTCTCTCTCAATTACCTTTAACCTGCCTGACTTTCCACAAAGAACTCGGCTCTTTCTTTATCCGTCTTCGCAAATTATCTATATTGATAATTGGTACTGACTCTTTTCTTTTCCAGATTTGCGGATTCCAGAGATTGGGCCGGAGACATCCAGATTATGCTCGATCTGGCGATGTCCAAGGGAGGTTACATAGGCACACTCTCAGAAACCTTCGACGAGGGCATACCGATTTACTTTTCTCACAGCGACATAGTTTGGTCCGCTGCACATGACAACGTCAGACTTGGAATGGGAGCCCTTAGAAGGATGGTCGAGATGCTGTTCAAGGATCTCACCAAGGGCAAAGAGCTTGAAACCATCGCATTTGGAAAGCCCCAAATCGGCACATTTGAGTTCGCTACTCGCTTGCTTCAACAGTGGCGGAAAGACGAGCATCACATCAATCGTCCGCCGGAGACTGTGTACTTCGTGGGCGATACACCCGAGAGTGACATCAAGGGTACGAATCAGTTTAACGAGAAGGCCAAGAACACCTGGTATTCGATCCTTGTACGCACCGGCGTCTACCAGGAGGGAACGGAGCCGGCCTACAAACCCATGGCCACTGTTGACACCGTGCTGGATGCGGTCAGACATGGGATGGAGCGAGAGTTCAAAAAGAAGAAGATAGGGCCCAAGGACAACGGAGGGCTCCCTCTTAACGGTTCGACATTTAAGAACCTGTCACTGAGTGGCGAGGTTAACAAGCCTCTTACGCCCGAGATAGTGACGACACCTGATTTGGTATAGAATTTCCGGATTGATATACTGGATATAGATGATGGATGATGACGACGATGATGATGATTGAGTGGGAGGCGATTTCATGCATTTTCATGTTTTCAGGCGTTTATCAACGGCACCAATACCCCCGACACGGTCGTTAAGACTTGATGTTACGCGTGGGATTCCTAAGCTACAAGATCAACAGATCACAGATCATCAGATGGAATTCTAGCTGTTTGTTTACGAGATGCATACCCTCCTATATTCATCGCCAAGTGAAGCCGTTGGTCGTCCACGCCGCACAGCCAAGACCATCTCCCCGCATCACCAGCATATTGCAGGCTTCACATAGGGAATAATTCGACTGCAATATTGTCAGCTCACCCGTTGTCGATTCCTTGCATTGATGCCGATCGCAGTACAGCTATCACAGTGATATGCATGCTGACCACCCATGCTCGACCCTATCGCATGATTCGCATCGATGGGGTTAGGAAATGGGGCTGTTTGTATGGGGTTATGGTAGTGACGATCACGGTTGTTTCTTTTCACATGCTGTTTGTAGTACGTGTGTGGTTATAAGACGGAAGTATCTGAAGTAAATGTCGCTGGTCCAGGGGAGAGCGGGGCATCCCTTATCGATAAGCCCCTGCTACTCTGTCCTTTGTAGGGGATCTGTGCAGAGCGGGGGTCCAGGGACAACACGTCGGGGAAGACTTCTCCCAACCTCTGAGCTCGTTTGAGGAACCCCTGTACAATAATTCTGTACAATAAAATCATCATCAACCTGATCTTACCATTTCACTAATAACCCATTAACATCCCAAAACATCACCACAAGTTGCGAGCGCCTATTTCTCAATTCTCATCATGGCTACCGGAGACTCCCCCAACTACCCCATCATCGACTCGCACATCCACCTGTACCCCGAATCCGAACTCGACACGCTCGCATGGTGCGGGCCCTCGCACCCTCTTCACAAGCAGCACTCGCTCAGCGAGTACGCGACGGCGACGGGCTCGCCGGCCTCCCTCGAAGGCTTCATCTTCCTCGAGACGGACCGCAAGCATGATCTGGCAGCCGGGGCCGGTGGCTGGGCGATGCCGCTGATGGAGGTGGAGTGGCTGAAGCGGATAGCGCTTGGCACGCCGCGCGAGGGCGAGGGGCACGGCGCGGAGCATGCTCAGCTGTGTTTGGCCATCGTGCCTTGGGCGCCGCTGCCAAGTGGGGCGGAGGTGCTCTCGAGGTACGTGACGGAGGTGGAGAAGCACGCCGGTGCGAGCTTTGGGAAGATCAGGGGTTTCAGGTATCTGGTGCAGGATAAGCCGCGGGGGACGATGCTGCAGGATGGCTTCATTGAGGGGTTGAGATGGCTGGGGAGGAAGGGCTATGTGTTTGATCTCGGGGTCGATTTGCATAGTGGGGGCAAGTGGCAGTTGGAAGAGGCGGTGGAGATGATTGAGAAGGCTCACGAAGGGGTTGAGGAGGCGGAGAGAGTTACGTTTATCATCAGTGAGTTTTTTTGCCTCTGTCCATCCTTCGACAACTAACACCAGCCATCAGACCATCTCTGCAAGCCCGACCTCTCAGTCTACAACCCGACGGATCCCAAGTTCGTGGCGTGGCGCACGGCCATGTTCAAGCTCAGCAAGTGCAGCAAGACATTCCTGAAGCTCAGCGGCTGCTTCTCCGAGATGCCCGACTCTCTGAAGACGGCGCCCGTCGACGAGATCTTCCTGGCGCTGCAGCCCTACCTCGTGGTGATTCTGGCCACGTTTGGTTCTTTCCGGATCATGTACGGCTCCGACTGGCCGGTCTGCACCGTGGGAGTTGAGGATGCGTGGAAGAAATGGAGACGCGTGGTGGAGAGGTTCTGCGACCTGGCGAGCTTGAGCCAGGAGGAGCAGATTATGATCTGGAGTGGAACTGCGATTAAGGCGTATGGGATTAGGGAGTTGATGCAGTGATGTAATAGATGCTAAAGGGCTGAGGCTTGTGGCTTTTGTGAATTGTGAAGTTTCCTCTGTGTTGTCATCCGCTCAGCAGTCATGGACACGGTAGATGAAATGTAATATAATTTAATATAACACAGTACAATCAATGTTTCAATATGTGTTGCAATATATGTGTAAATACCCCGCATTGAGCGAATTTCGGACATGACCACCGCGCAGTGGGGCTTCGCGCTGTATTCACCCGAAGATGATAACATATGGATATTGGATTCCCTCCTTTCCCACAATCGTCCCAGACTGGGATTCAGATATATAGTTTATATTGACATCTCTTCCTATCTTCCTATCCTTTAATTTCTTTCCATCTATCTGCTACAATAAACTATCCATCCCTCTGATCCCCCCAACATGGCCGCCCCTCCTCCCCCAGGTGTCTACGTCCCCGTCCCAACCTTCTTCGTCTCCAAGAAGGCCGCCAACTACAATCCCGTCGCTGCACCCCTCGACCTCGCCACGCAGGGCGCGCACTCTCTGCACCTCGCAAGATCCGGGATCCAAGGCCTAGTAGTCCTTGGGAGCACCGGCGAAGCCGTGCATCTGACCAACCAGGAGCGCTTCGAGCTTCTCTCGCACGTCAAGAAGGAGCTTGACAGCGCCGGGTTCAAGGACTACCCGTTGATCGCGGGCACCGCATCTCAGAATATCGCCGAGGTCGTCGAGCAGCTGAAGAGTGCGAAGGAGGCTGGTTGTCAATGGGGACTTTGTCTCGTGCCGGGTTATTTCGCTGGGGCCAGCACGCAGGAGGGGATTATTGCTTGGTTCACAGCTGTGGCTGACCAGAGCCCTATTCCCATTATGATGTAGGCGCTCTCTCTCTCTGCTTCCTCCCACTGACACAGTGACACCCACAGATACCACTACCCGGGCGTCTCGAACAACGTCAAGATGATCCCCTCCAGCTTCGCCGCTTTATCCCAACACCCCAACATCGTCGGCTGCAAGCTCTCGCACGGCGACATCTCATACCACGCGCAAATCGCATCCAATCCGGACATCAACCATTCTCAATTCCACACCTACACAGGTCTAGGCCAGCAACTTCTCCCCGCCATCTCCGTCGGGTGCTCGGGCACGATCGACGGATCCGCAGGCTTCTTCCCGAAATCCCTAGTACACTTGTACCAGCTCTCCCTCAAGAACAACGCCAGCGACGCAGAGGTCCAGGAGCGCCGCCTGCTGCAGTATAAGGTGAGCAAGGTCGAAGAACTAGTCGTCCGCTTTGGAACCGTGGGGATTAAGGAGGCTGTGAGTCGTGTCTTGGGCTTGGGCGATAGGGATGGGACGAGGCTTCCCCTGAGTGGTGGCTTGCCCGGTGGCGATCTGGAGTGGGAGAATTGGAAAGATGCGGTTGGGGAGCTGGAGGGCGTGGAGAAGAGTTTGTGAGCGTTTAACTAGTAACCGGTTGGGTTGGACATGCTAGAATTCGTCAATCACACTTTCTTTTTTCCCTCAACAAGTACATTTTTCTAGAGTGAGAATCCTGACCAAGCTGCCTGTCTGTATCAAGACGTCTGTCCGTCTAGATCCTAGTATCCTACTCGCTTACCTAGGTAATTGCAACCAAGCAAGCAAGCAAATCATAAAAAGAAAATCTAACATTGGGAAAATTCGCCTCGAGATGGATGCTTGATTTTGCCTCATCATTTTCTTTATTTATCTTATCATCAAGTACTATTTGGGATAATTGATTTATAGGTCTAGAGGTATAGATAGCTATCATACAATCCATACCTTTGCCATCTAATTACATCCATCCATCCACCCCCCTCCCCTATCCCCGTCCCCCCCCCCCTTCTCTCTTCCCCCCTCTCTCTCTAACTAATTAACCGAAAAACAATAAAATAATCCACTATATAAAGAGTACCTTACCTCGCAGACTCGATATTAGCATTACTACCAAGTCAACATTTGTCGAATAGAGCACCAACAGGTGGAGTTGAGTTGAGGTGGGATTTCTTTTGATGATTGCTGAGTGTTGTTGCTTGGGAATGGAATTGAATTGAATAGGTAAGGTAGTTGTTGTTGTTATTGATTATATTACTATCGTTGTGATTTAATCATATCATTGTCATTCACCCACCTAATCATCGTGACCCAACTATATCATTATCATTCACCCACCTAATCATTGCTCAAGAATAGAATCCATCAGAATATATATCATCCAGCTTAGGTCGACAGTCGAACTTTCCCTTTCCATCTTAGCATTATTCGCTGCCAGAACTTTGAAAGCACCTCATGTTCTTGTAGCAGACCTGATATAATGTTTCACTAAAATTTATGTCTGTCGTCTATCGTACCTACGAGAGCGTGGCTTGTTTTATGTTTCCAGACTGCGATTACCGAGTAGCCTATTTGCCAGAGCACAACTACCTAGGAGCAGATTAGATAGAGGGAAATTGGAATCGAACCCTCCACTCTCTCTATAGTAAGATTGTTATCAGATGGTTCGTAACCTGACCTGAGCCTGTGGTTTAGGTAGGGCTACTACTATAGATCAGATCATCTCCTTCTTGATTTTTATTAATACAAGTGATAATATTTATAGAGTTAAGTTATGACGGAGGCCTTAAGTAAGGCAGGCCTCTTGATTTTTGCTGAATACAGATACGCGTTAACGTACAACCCGTTCGTTGTTAAGTCTGCGCATGCCTCGGCTTGTCTGGTATTGTCATTTGTATAATCGTTATTCATCTACCTACCTATTATACTATTACTTACTATTCATCTGATTGTTAGAGAGGTTAATAATCTAAATAGAGATATTTCTAAATAAATGAATGGATTCTAGCATGTAACTCACAGAATCAGAAATCAAAGAGCTTTTGATATAATATCATATTCTAGCTATCTAGACTCTCTATACCTTTAGATAGGTTATGCTAATAGTATGATAAGGTGAAAGAAGATAGTACTAGAGAGATAGATAGGTAGATATGTTGATGTTGTTATGTAGATAGATAATTCCTCTGTCCTTTTGTAGGTTTTGTGTTGAATTTATTTCTGGATACATAGAGGAGCTAACTAATGAACTTTTAGATGTATCAGCTTGTAATTTGTATCACAGCTATGGAGCAACGATTGGGCAATGACAATGGTATATCGAGAGGAGCGACAGAAGACCAACCACAAAAGACGCGATATTCCCTTGTGTCTACCCAAAGTTTCGAATCTGTACACAGGCAGTGAAAAATCCCCATGTATCAAGGTAGATTGAAACTCCAAGTGCGGCACGAAGATATCCAGCGTCGCCTAGTCGAGGGTTTATCGAAAGCTGATAAACCCAAACTGCCAATTGGGCAAGGACTAGTTAATTCCATTTCCACTCCACTCCCCACCCCCATTTCCATTTCAGATCAAATACTTCACCCCCTCCTTCATTACCTCCCACAACTTTCTCTTGTCGATTAAGGCATGGTGATAACCTTGTATGCACGTTAAATTAAGCAAGTGAATCATGGTTGCACAGCACCTACTATGTTAAATCAAATGCATGGCTCTGTTGTAGTAATGATTGCTGAGCCAGCGAACAAAACGACGGTGATACATCCGATGCTGCTCAAACAGTGCTATAGCCTATGGGGGTGACACCGGCATCCCTGAGAAATTGGAAGGCCGTGTACGTCGCGAAGTTGGAGAAGGAAGACGGTATGTCCCCACGGGCAGTATCCCTCTTTCATGACCTCCCAGAGCTTCCTGGTATCTACTGCCGCGTGGTGGTGGTCTAGCAATGTCGTCTCCGCAAACAACATTGCGTGCAGCGGCTGTAATGCCAGGGTCCTGGCCCCTGGCATTATGCCACGCCACATCGGAATGCCAGACACCCAATTCCCCCGAGGGGGCAGAAGCTCTCCTCTCCCGACGTCACTCATGCTTTTGATGATCGTGGTGGCATCGCACCCGTTGGTGCTCCATTCGACAAATGTTGAATTGGTATTGATGCCAACATGGGCAAATTTGTCCGCCAGGTCCTCGACCCGAAGGCCAGGCGTCCTCCTTTCGAAGTCATTCCCGTATATTCCCTGTATGCAATTCGTCCATCTTCTTGATGGGCACCATCCCGCTAGCTCCAGGATCGTTATGCCATAATCGACGGTTGTGTCGATTAGACACTCCCCTTTGGCGTTATAAATAGACACTTCGAACAGGTGTCGCACGAATTCTTCCCCTGTCCCCAGTTGTCCGAACTCCATGTCCACAAAGAACACTTGGTTCGACGTATCGCTGTCCAATGCCAATTTGATATCTTTCCATTGGCCCGCTGCCATTAGGAGGCGTGGTGAGGTTTGAAGATAGTCTGCCATGTCTCCAGGAGACACGACACTGGATCCGGGCCCCTTCTTCTCCCGGAAGCTCACCCAGCGGCAAAGACTAGTTCTCTGCTGGATCTTGCCTGAAATTGCTGTTAGGATTACAACTGAATAAGACTGTTGTCATTACTCACCATAGTGCTTTACACAGCAATTCCCATTAGGTCCAGCTCCTGGATCTTTATGCCATAATCGACGGTTGTGTCGATTAGACACTCCCCTTTGGCATTGTAGACGGACACTTCAAAAAGGTGGCGTACGAACTTGTCTTCCACCCCTTGTTGCCAAACCATCGATCTTCCCCTCTTCGTAAAGCTTAATGGCAGCTTTGATATTGGTATGCTGTTCTTTGCGTTCATAATGAGGATCTTCCGGGTCAAGATAGCGGTAGAGTTGTTTGATGCGCTCTTGGACATCGAAAACTGGAGGCAAGCCGCAAAGGCATCGCAGGTGAGAATTCGATTTTGGGCGCCATTATACAGGTGGCTTCTGATGGACTAGGCTCGTGTTTATGTATTATTGATGAGAGTACTTGCCCGAATTCCGTGTCTACAAAGAACACGTTGTTTGAGGCATTGTCTTCTAATGCCATTTTCATTGTCTTCCAGCTCCAAGCTGGCATTGGGGGCGTGGGGAAGATTTGAGATATTTGGCCATGGTAACGGGAGACACGACCCCAGACCCAGGTCCCCTCTTGGCCCGAAAGCTTATCCATTGACGGACACAGCGTCTTTGTTGTCTCTTCCTGAAATTACTGTTAGTATAACGGCATCTTAGTGGGGAATTTTTCAATTTATCTTCTCACCTTCAGAATCAAATGCATACAATACATATATATATATCCAAGCCCTCATATACCCAGCAAGAGTATTCAATAGAGAACAAATTGACTACTACTGTTAGCATAATGATCTGTGAAGACTGTTGTCATTACTCACCATAGTGCTTTGCACAAAACTTTCCTGTAGGCCTGGCTACTTCCTTGCAACCTACAGTGGCATTGCAGAGTCTCGTCCCATCTTCTCTGAATTTGGAGGATCTCATCCATACACGGATGATGTTGGCATAGTACGTGCATGCAATGCACGACGTCAACCAATATAAGGGTTTTGTTTGGTCGGCTTTGAGCAGTGTATTGCTCGCATCGAGGGAGGTACTATGAGGGCATTGCATCGTGGCGTGCCCCCATACTACCCCCTGACAAGTCAAGACATGTCGAGGGGATATATCATGTATATAGTAACGTCTAGTAGCTTCATCAATCCACAGACTTAACACAACGATCAAGGATTGATAACCTTACATTGCATCGATCCTCATGGCGGTCGATATTCCTTCTGGCGTAAGTAATGCCACATAGGCGGCATTTCACATGTTTTCGGCCTGGTGAAAACTCCCTTGTTCCTTGTGTAAATTTTCGCATCTTCACCGTTGGTTGTAGGACAACGCCGGGACAATGCTCGGCATGGTTGTCAATGTTGATTGCCGGGTATGAGCTTCCACAGCCTTTCGTGCAGAGCTGCTTCTCTAAGGCATCTCCGCCATATTCCCGGATCTTTTTTCGAACCCGGGTAGTGTCGGTTGTGCTGCCATTGCAGCGCTTCTCATGCTTCTTTGCGGTGTCCAAGGACTTGGACCAGCAGCCACAGCCCTTTCCGCATAATGCCAGCCGGCCCACTCGAATTCGTGCATTCGGGTCTCCGCTGGCAGTTGCTGTTCCTGATAATGGTGGCATATTTGTAATTTAGTAATGTCGAGTTATAATTATAAAGTACCTAAGGTAGTATCACTGAGAGGATTCAGAGGAATCAAGCATGGGATAGATCATAGATAACATGGAAGACGACGAAGTAGAAAGTAATTTGGGCACTACCTAGGTACCCCTTGACATGTCAAGACATGTCGAGTGTTCAATTGTTGGTGCTCCATTCGACAAACGTTGACTGGGTGGTAATGCTAATGTCGAGTCTGCGAGATCCTTGATATAGTGGATTATACTATTGTTAGATCGATTTATGTGTGTGAAGGTTTGAGGAATGAAGTTGCTCAGAGCGCGCTGCTGCCTTGTCTATATAACGAGTAAGCGAAGTCACGTGACTTACCCCTAACAACACTCTCACTTTTTGCCAAATTGCCAAACTTTGATACGGGATTGCTTGAAGTCAGGATTGTTTGAAGTAGTCAGGATTGCTTGAAGCTGGGATTGCTTGAAATAGGGATTGCTCGAAGTAGGGATTGCTTGAAGTCGGGATTGCTTGAAGTCGGGATTGCCTGGATTGCTTAACATTAGGATTGCTTCAAGTAGTCAGCATTGCTTAAAGTGAGTACTATACTATGTACCCCAGGCATAGTATAACGGCGTGTTCCTACACTGCTCTACTCCATGACATGTCAAGGCATGTCGAGGGTGTACATCTCGACTTTCCATCTTCTTGTATCGGATCGCAGATCAGGGATCTTGTACGTGGAATATCCGTTGTCCATGCCTTGCGTTATTACAGTCATTTTGGATGTCTTCTTCTAAGGTAGCTCCTTAGGGTCTCTGTGAACTTGCTGTTGTGTGATAATTTACTACGACGTGGTAACTTACTGTTGTGTGATAATTTACTGCTGTATGATAATTTACTACTACGTGATAATTTACTACTGTACAATAACTTACTACTACATGATAACTTACTACTGTACAATAACTTACTACTGTACCATAACTTACTACTGTACAATAACTTACTACTGTGTAATAACTTATTGCTGCTGCGTTTTTGTACCTAGATCAGGAGGTTATGTGACACTCGCTATGTATCGCCAGAAATCACCCTTATTCGATTCGAGCGGGAAAGCGATCATATCAAAAATCCATGGACCAAAAGCCTTGTCTGCTTATCTATTTATATTAAGAGTATCTTTACTTTACTTCAATCTACCCACCTACCTCCTAACCGTGAGTGTAAAATCAGCCGTGAGCGCTTTCCCCACAGGGACCGTCAGAGTCCCCGTCTGACTATCATGCCTCCAGCCCCCGACCTCCAGGCCATTGACCAAGCAGCCTCCAGGACGCTGAGGCATGCCCAAGAACGTGAGGCTTGCGATCTGGACGCCGGCGTTATATCCGTACTTGCCACGCATCGAAAAGTGCGTGCCGTCAAAGGAGAACTGGACGAGTGTGGTTCCGTCCTGCTCGATGCTGATGCCGTCGTCGAGGTAGAGCTGGCCGGTGGCTCGGCCGTCAAGGCCGAGGGGGACAATAATCTCAAAGTCTTGGGTGCGGAGCTCGGTGGTGGTCATGGCGCTGTTCAGGCGCTGGGGGACAATCACGCCGCCCCGGTAGTAGAGTTGGATGGATTCGTAGTCGATGTTTTCGATGAGGATGTCGGCGCCGTGGCCTTGCACAGGCTCGTGGGTGTAGAAGTCGTAGAAGATGTCATTGGGGAGGTAGATTGATACGCTGGTAGAGTTCTCCTCTGTTACGGGGGCGACGAGGATGGATGGGCCGAAGAAATATTGCAGTTCGAGAGCAAAAGTCTTGATGTCGTTAGGGTAGATGTAGAACATCGGGTTGACGAGAGGAGTGCCATCTACGGTCTGCTGATATAACGCGGTGTAGATGTAATCAAGCAGGCGGTAACGGATGTCGATAACCTTCTTAGCCGCTGCTGTCACGGTCGGCCATCGATAAAACTCCTGAGAGATGCTTGGTGGATTGCTGTTGTGATTACGGTAGAAGGGACTGAAAGCACCGAGGGTTGCCCATCGAGAACAGAGTTGCTCCGTGGTGTTTCCCCCATAGCCACAGACATCGGATCCAACCATAGGAACTTGGTATATGGAGGCAAAGGCAAGCATGGTTCGGATGGAGATCCGGTAATGCAGCCAGTCACTCACATTGTCACCTAGCCAGTGCCCGACTTTTGTTCCGGCACCAGCGAAAGTGCTACGCGCGATAATAATGGGACGCTCTGTTGGGCGGCGGTTCAACATTGCACCGCGCGAAGCCGTCGCCATCACTAGATCTGTCAGCATTGATTTTACGATTTTAATCAAATCCCGCGTTAGTTTGAAGACGTACTTGTACCGAACAAATTATGAGTATCATACATGGCGAGTCCATTTTGATGAATGACATCGGTATTGACTGTATGGTTTGAGATACCACCTCCTGCGGCATTATCGGCGACAGTGTATGCAGCAGTGTTGTGAATCGCGTATTTGGGGTAGAGCAAGTCTCTCCCTGGTAGACCGAGTTCCTGACCAGGTGCTTGTCTTTTTTCAACGGGTTTCGGGACCGTAGCAGGAGCGGAAATTTCCCTTCTCGCCGGGGCATCTGTACAGTCCGTACCAACTGGTTGGAAGGCGCACGGGAATCCAGGAAGCGGGCGTGGTGGTGTGCGGACAGGTGGGGGTGCAGGTGGATATCCGACTGCCGCAGCATATGGGTTGTCGCAGGGGAAGTTACAGGGGAAATTGGACGGCTCGGACATGTCGATCCACAGCCCGTCCAAGTTCACTCCATTTGTTGGGTCAAAAAGGAGAGCAAACTCGTTATTCCAGTAGTTTTGAGTGTCTGTATTGAACCAATCTGGGAAGACCGTCACACCCGGCCAGACGACTCCCAACCAATAGGACCCATTGGACCGTTTCAGAAAGATATCATCTGCTGCACCGCGTTCGTACGGGGGATAATCCTGGTATGCAACTGCTGGGTCGACCATGAGAATCTGGTTTTGATTGTGGTCATGAAGATAATGGTTGATATCTTGCATCAGGCTAAGCGAGAATCGCTCTGGATCAAGCGAGAATACCTTGAGGGACGTCAGTCAGGACTCAGCCGAGATCAACAAGAAAAACCAACAAGAAAAATCAATAAGAGAAATCAACAAGAAAAGAAAGCTGATGTACCCTTCTCCTATCGAAATAATCAATATCGACCCAAGCAGTCTGCAGCGGAATGCCTGCTTTGGAGTAGTTGTAGATAGCCTCGGCCACATCAAAAGCATCCTGGTAGCCATATCTACAATTATGGAAGCCGAAGCCCCAATACGGCATCATGGCTGGCAAACCCACTACTTCAGCATACTGTTGTGATACAGCCACGGGCGTGGGCCCTGCGATGAAATAGAAGTCGAGTACACCACCGAGAGTGTTATATTCTAGATATTGGTCTGCTCCATTGGTGTTGTTGATCTTGATATCCATTCCATTGGAATTGAGGAAGAAGACTCCGTGAGTACCAGTAATCCTGTGCTCAAAATACACGGGGTGGTTGCCGTACAAATTGGAGCCAGCGGGGATTGAGTAGGCATCCTGAGACCACAAAGTCCGGATATAATCGGTTGTATTCAGACGTAGCGGGTCGGAATGCTCGCCCAACCCGTAAAGGTAGGGGTTCTCCGGAAGCGAGGTACGAAGTCTGAGATACTGAGACTCGAAGACGATACTCGCAGCTGAAGTATCAAACAAAACCTCGCCCGTGTGGGTTCGGGTAATCGAGAATGAAAACGGATATGGAACGTAGTGGAATTGGATGTTGGCACTGCGTTGCCGTGCCCCTGGTGATGGCGACGGTCGTGGAAAGACAGAGGTTGGGACTTGGTAAACGCTATTGGCCTCATCTTGGATCTTGACATGGATGCGATCGTCTGCCCCCATCGATTAGAGCGCGATGGGTTTCCGGAGAGGGACAACATACCGGACTCATATACAACCTCCAATGTCAGATCTGGCAGGTCAGTGCCATACACATTGCAAGCGGGGCCCGCAAGATTCAAGTTCGCGGTGAGACTCGAGGCGGTTGTCTTGACATTGGAAGCCTTGTAGCCAGGACACGCAGCGAGAGGATCGTCTGAAGGGAGTTGAGGGATGCGGTTGGCAGAGACGGCGGCAGCTGCCAACAACAGCCAGGACAGGATGACAGCCATGGTGAACAATGAATGTCCCAGGAGTGGATGGCGATGGAGCTCAGTCAGGACTCCCGAAGCACCTGCCACACCGTATATATACCTCCGCTTGCTGCGTATAGTTTTTCCTCCTCCGGCGCTTCGGCAGAATGGGGCTGGTCGTGCAACAGCTGTGAATGTAAGCTTATCCCCATTCTTCTCCCGCTTCTCATCTCGATTGCGGGGCAACCCATGTTGCTGCAAAGACCAACAACATCAAAAGGCCCTTTTCTGGTGCCGTGTTGGCTTTGATAGGCGTGGGAGGCAGGGGCCAGAGCGACATGACGGGCGAGATGGCGGAGGAATCGCAGAATGGAGTTGTTGTTCACAGACGGGGCTCATGGACTTCGATGTTTTCGTTGTTTTTATTTGCTGTCTCTGGGGTGAAGTGCGTTCCTGGAGCAGATCTCCAATGACATCGCGGAGCTGTGCCCCAGACCGCTGCTCGTAACGGGCCGACTGGAGCCCCGCTGCTCCCCGCGCTGGGGATTGACCAATGGGGGTGGGGATCAGGTGATCACCCTTGCGGAGTATACTGTTAAAAGGGAGAAATTAATTACTGAAATTGATTGCCCCGTATGAGTAGCGGAGAGTACCTACTTTCTTACGTACAATGGATGACGGGAAAGAAGGCGGTAGGAGTATATACCTCACGGAGGTACATCAAATGCTGAATAATAATACAGTCATCATCCTCGCTACGGTCGTCGCTACGTTTCGCTACTCCTCGCTACCAACGGCCCAGCCCGTGCTTAGTCACGACTGAGTAACCACAACCTAGTCACGTGACTCCCGGCCCAGGTCGATCGGCTGGAGCAGCATGGCGGGTAAACAGGACCGCCCATGTTTCTTCTCCCACTGCAAGTATATCAGCACCAGCACATACACTCTAATCTTACACCGTGAAACTGACAAGTAGACAAGCAAAGAGATCGAGACAGACGACCAGAGAAAAGGAAAAAAACAACATACCTCAGCACCCCCGGTCCCCTTATCCTCCCACCCCAACCATTCCCGGTAGAGCCTCATCGGCGGCACCGCCTTGTCATGCCAGGTACTCCCTTCAAACCGCACCTCTCGCCCCTTGCTGAACGGGCTCTCCTCACTACTCCCACTGACGCCCTTCGGCCCCGGGTTGAACCATTTCTGTAGGCTCGAGCCACTCCAGGCCCGGTCGAAGAACACGGGAATGGGCGCATAGACTGCCTTTAACCCGTGTAGCAAGGCCACGGTCTGCGGCGCCATCTTGCCGCTGGCTTGGTTTCCCCTCAGGTTCTCGGCGTGCATGGTATCGAGTAGCTTTTTGCTACATCGAGAATGCGTGTCGTCGATACTTGCGCGCCGCGGGGTCTCGTCGGCACCCGCGTAGCCCCAGATATCGTCTCGGCCCGGCCAACTCGTATTGACGGGGTTGAAGATGGGCGTCAGAGATATATAATCTGCTTCTTCTCCCACGCCCCATTGATAGTTATCATCGCCCGGTTCTTCCACCGGAGGAGGGGGGCCAACGGGAGCGAGGCTCGACAATGCGAGGTTCGTCGACAACTGGGGGGCTCCCCATATCGTGCTGTCCTCGGAGAGTTTCTCAACCCTCTTGCGGAACTCGGTATCGTAGTGACCATGGATCGAGGGGATATAGAACCGCTCGTTACGCTCCCAGAGACCCTTCCTTGGCTGTGCTTTCGCGAACGCGGCCAGCTTCTCGAGCAGATCGTAATAGTGGCCGGTATATCTGGAGTCAAACTCCCAGTTCCAATAGTAATCGAACTCGGGATGCTCCTGGGAAAACTTCTGGACAGAGAGCCATTGAGATTGCTGGACCAGAGGATACCATTCCTTCATCGTGGCCTCGTTCCAAGGAATTACCATCCCCCAGAATTCCTTCGGGATGTTGGCTTTAAATGATTCTTTCGAGAGTGGAAGGTCATCCTCTACCTGAACCAACAAGAAGACGTGGTATTCACCCCCGCTTCTTAAAGATAGCTCAGTCACCAAAGAGCGAATGTTCTGCTTGTCGTTCTCGCTGTATTCCCTGCCGGAAGAAGCGCGAAGAAGAACCGCTGTTCGGGATTTGGGTTTCATCGTGAGTTGAGATGTACCAAGCAACGCCCGTTCTTGAGCATCAGCCTCAGTACTGTGGGACGCCATTGAAGAACTCTCGACATCCCTAACAGCATTTTTGACAGGCCCAAGCTGATCAACCTGCACATACCGATCCGAGTTCTTCTGATAACAGAAGTCCTGCAATATATCCCAATTAACCGCATCCCAGTCCACTCGCTTCTTCACATGTCCCCTCTTCCCCTTCACTCCCCTATACCCATACGCGGCCAGCCTCCCCTCCCTCTCAAAGCAGATATTCCCATCTATGCCCAACAGCGCATACGACCCCATCGCCGGCTGCCGCAAGCTTTCCACATGTCCCGAGAACCCCACGATGTCCGCCAGCTCCTCCTCCGGCCCTAGACACGGGACATACTCGCCCTTATTCGTCTGTCTCCACGTCTCGGTATTATACGCCGGGAAGGGCGCGTACGCATACGGCACCGCGTCGCTGTACGGCATCCGCGCATCCATCTCCGTCAGCGCCGCGGCGTGCACTGCTGCGTGCGCTCCTGCGCCTGCTAGCTTCTTCAATGACGTCCCGAAGATCTTGCCTGCGCTGGATAACCTATATCCATATCAAAGACCATTCATCGCGTCAGCAAGCATTCCTCTCGTTCTCCCCCACCTCGACTCATAGGTAGGCTTAACTCGCAAGGAAAAAAAGGGAGACACTCACTTTCCCAACTCCTCATACTCTCTCACGAACTGCTCCTGCGAAACCACAACACTATCCAACAATCCACCGCCCACCGACTCCCCCATCCCCATCACCGTCCCCATAACCCTCGGCGCATCCCCTTCTCCCTCTGCCTCTCCCTCCTCAACCCCCCCATTCCCCCCTCTCTCCCCTCCCTTCACCACACCCCCAAACCCCCCACCCCTCTCCCTCCCCCCAGGGAATCCCACATATAGATACGCGACCAGCAGGCACGCGACCAGTATCAAAGTTGTCCGGAATCGGGACGGCATCGTTGTTCTCTTTCCTTTTCCTTTCCTGTTCCTTCCTTACCTATCTATCTATCTCCCTTGATTCAGCATCACGCTGCCTTGTTTGCTTTGCTTGCTTGCTCGGTAACCGAAGAACCTCCGAATTAGAATGTGGATCTGGATCTGGATCTGGATCTGGATCTAGATATATAAGGTATAGGATAGATGGATGGGTAGGTGGATGTGGGGTATACAATACAATACACAAAAAAAAACAAAACAAAATAAAGCAAGTCAAAAATATTCACCCTACCTACGTACAACATACTGTTACATACACAAGCCTCGAATCCTCCGCAACCCCCCCCCCCACTCTATGGCTGACTGGGCGCCGAGGAACGAGATCAGCAGTTTTGAAACCTTAGGTGAGTAGTTACTAACTTACTAACTTACGGACTACTTACTGTATGATGATGGTAGTGGCCACTACTACAACTGGGGGGGGTGTGGGGTGAATGAAGGGTGCGCTGCAAGGATGGAGTGGTACTGATGATCATTTGCTTAATTTAACGTGCGTGCAAGGTTTCATGGAACGGCGAGTTACTGTAATTACACAACTCAATAGAAGCAAGCAAGAGCGGTTTCCAAAATGGATCTCGAATATATTCAAATCTCCATCCAGGACAGTATCTACATACATATAAACATTAGATAGTAGCTATTAATCCATAATGCTGTACTATGCAAAAGGGTTTAGAAAAAGGGTATATCCAATTCGAAAGGAACAGAAAAATCCAACCATGCACCGCATGTGTGCAATCCCAGAATGCAAAGAAAGGGTATAAATAGAGTTCGACCGCGCCAGGCCGGAGACCGAAGATGAAAAGAAAATGCCTTTTGTGTGGGATGAAGAACGTTCAACCAGTGCTCGTAAATGATCAAGATCACATCATCATCAGTCTGGTCGTCCTCCGCTCCATGCGATTGCTTGCTGAACCACCGGGTCCCAAGAATCGCCCCTGTTGAGCCCGCCTGAATGCATCCCGCTCGCAGTAGACTCGCCCGTTCATCTCGAAATACCCATGGCGCAAATTCCGCTTGCAGTCTGAACAAGTCAAGCACGCAGGATGAAATTTCTGCTTACTCTCGCTCTCCAGGTATTGCCCTTCGATGCCTTTATCGCAGGTTGTGCAGAGACTTCCATTCAACGTGTGGTAGTGGCGCTCGCAATATGGTGCATCGTCAAGCACGTAAAATGTCGCAGTCTGGAAGGGTTGAGAGCAGGTGTTGCAGACAAAACACTCCTTGTGGTACCGTCCAGTGAGACGCCCATCAGCCGACGAAACAGATTTGCCTGTGATAGGTTTACCACAGCCTTTGCAATCACCTTTCGATGTTGTGCGTCGGCGGGGGGTAGGTCTGCGGTCCAGATCAAGAGGAGCTTGGGAGCGAGCTGGGTTGCGTGATGGGATTGGCGAGACGACTCCTTCATGGATTGCAGGATCTATAGGCGACTCTGGAGGGAAAAGTGCGGGCTCGAGAGTTCTTGCCAGCGGCCGTGCAAATTGTTCCATTTTCCTTGGAGGTGACGGACTCGAGCTTAGCTCTCCTAGCTGGAGATCCGTAATCGATGACTCTACCTCAGACATGAGACTGTCCATCTTAGCAGAGTCGGAACCGTTCCAGGGCGACCGATCAGGAACGCTTGATAGTGGACTCGACCGTGAACTCGCTTTGCTACCCTGGCTAGAGCCGGACGTATTCGAAGACTGTGATTCCGTGGGCGTGTGATACGGATTTCCAACTCCAAATTCCGCTGCAAGGTTTACGTGGGATGGGAGAGGGGGTACCTCGCCGGGTTTCGCATCAAGTCTTGGTCTCAGCAAGCTCGTACCACGTGGTGGAAGAGGCCTTGTTAAATCTGGTCCACCCATCGATGGTCTTCGACGACCGTCCGGAGAACTACCCATTGCCCTTTCATTCACGCTAGGTCTCCTTTCGTTAGGCCCATTTGAAGTCGAAGGTCTGCGCATTTCTGGACCAGGCTCTGACGGCCTCCTATACAATGGTTCTTGACTTTCATTTTGAAGGGGAAAGGTTTGCGACCTCACTTCCAGGTGGGGAGGATGCTCACTTCCAGGGTCATCATTGCCTGCTGGTGGCCCGAAGCCGCCGTAGCCATTCTTCCTTGGAACCTTGGGTATTTGTGACTTAGAGCCGTGCGAGCTATCGGTAAACGTCCGAGAGTGTCCAGGTGCGTCACCAGATGCTGTAGACGGTCGTGGCATAGGGTCGGGAGCATCTGCTATCCTCAGGGACATTGCCGAATCCTTCATACTACGTTGTCTGAGATGTCCCCTATCAGATGCAGCGTCGTCCGCCTTGCGACTATTGACATCAAAAGGCCCGGGGATAATCTGGTCCACTCTCTTTAAAAGTCCACCACTACTTGCGGTTCTCGGGCTAACCGGGGCGTACATGTGATCCGCTCTTCCAGGTGATGTTCCAAGACTACCGTACCCACTACCCTGTTGAGGTTGACTTTTTGCGGCTGACCTTGACGTTGGAAATGGGGGGAACGGATTGTCCAGATTTGATGACATGTACTCAGGAGATGGGGGGCTCCGTATAGGGGCAGTTGCACTCCGAATTGGTCTCCCAAATGGTGACCGCGATCTATCGTTGGGGGTACGTGGTCCCTCATGGGGAGTAACGGGAGACATGCTTCGAGACGGAGGCAGGCTCACAGGGGTTAATTGTTGGCCTTGCGGAAGGAAGGGACGGTCTGTTAAACAGTTAATATCGTGTATACAACTTCAAGAGCAGAGTGGACGCACTCGCAGCGGAAACATCAACCATAGGCGGCATGGCCCGTCCTGGCTTGAGATAGCTTGGGCCATTGGTAGGATTCTGCTTGTAAGGCGCGTGATCCAGGTTTCCATCAGTATTATCTGGCGGGGGCGTTGCTGAACCTGTTAGTTACATCAGCATCATGCCATCACACAATTGAGGGGTACCTACGATCAACAGAACTTGCAGGAGTCTGGCATACATGATCTCCCATCTGGGAGATCTCGATGTCTCTGAGGCACATGGAACATTTTATCGTCGGCAGGAAGGTCGATACTCTACTAGAGTCTGCCATCCTGCTCTCGTCCTGGTCGGCAACTTGACTGCTCGTTCAGAAGAGAGGATTTGTTGTTGTCGTTATGAAAACATGCGCGGGGGTAAACAACGACGAGGAGAAGGATTAGATGGGTTGGAAGTTGCTGATAGTGACTTGTTTGTTGCTTTCCATGCGCTCTCGAGTATTAGGTAGTTGCAATTATCTATATGACGGTGGTACGATGTGGTGGTAGTATTGGCAGGAGACCTTTTGTTGATGTAGGAGAATGGGCACTGAACGAATGGAAGCGCCGACCTGGTAGAAACGTAAAGACCGTAAGGCAGAACAAAGCGAGCGAGACGTCTGAGTCCGGAGAGGCTCGTGAGGCTGTCGAGGCTGTCGAGGCTATCGTGGGACAAAAGGACGAGGGAGTTGTGTAAGAGAGGATGTTGCAGAAGAGTGTCGAGAGGCTCGAGGGGAGGGATGGAGCATGGATGGACGATGCATTCGACACAATAACAACGGGCACGACGCTGGGAGGGTGGCCGGGCTCAGGATGTGGCACGTGCACTCGCCCGAAGAGGCTAGGCTGGGAAGTTCAGGGGTAATGATAGGTGAGGACTTTCTGCTTCGAGATTAATGCCGGAGAGGGCCATGATACTGTAATATTATATTACGGAGGTAATATTAAAATATCAAATCTGAGGGAGGCGTCGGACGCTCGGCCGGACCGAGGGAAGTATTGTATTAGGTAGGTATGTATACAGTGTGTGTGTGTATGTATCTGGCTGCTTGCTCTTCCAACTCCATGAGACTCGTGGGCCATGGCCAAGAAGCAGAAGCAGAAGCAGAAGCAGAGGACGTGAGGGCGGAGGGACCTGGGGAGAGATGCGCAGGGCCTGGTGCCCTTCGAAACGCTCATACAGAGGGACTCCGCACATGTACAGCAAGTACTCCACAGGTCGCGGGCACTGGGCACATACCATACATATGCACTCCGTCCGTTGTGTGTACATGAAGGTACATGGATATACATAAGGTACATATACTTGGACTGTGGACTCAGCAAGGTATAGGTACATTAGTCAAGCGCAGGGAAGGCAAGGTCGCTGTTAAACTTTCCATACCTATGCAGGGCGCTTGAGAGGTCCATTCTCTTCTCTTCCACGATATGAAGTCCCCAAGGCTCACGCCATACCACCATCCAAAGGGTCTCGTCAACACGACCACTCCATGACGGAGAGTCGGCTGGCCAATATAGTGCCGTTGCGCGCCCCCACCAGCTCTCTTCTGCCGCCGCTTGGCCAGAGTCGTGAATCGTGATCCGCCGCCGATAGGGTGGCCTCAGGACCGGCTCAGGGGTTCCTCGCGATCAGCACTGCAATTTGCAATATTCGGAGAAAGAGAGAGTCGGGGACCCTGAGAGGAGGGACTCGAAGGGGAAGGCCCTGTTCTCATCTTGGAGACGTAGATCGGTCTGCGCAGAGCCAATGACTACGAAGAATGCGAGAATCGAGATTCACAATGCGGTATTTGGACGGAGTGCTCTGGCAACTCTGGACCGCGCACGATGTACTATAGTAAGGTTAACACCCCGTATTATTAATATACCGCAAAGAAGTGCCAACCTCGGAGCTCAGATGATTGATCTCGAGGCACACGATGTTTTGTCTCCGGCCAGAGCCTTCGGGATTTATCGTGTTGTCTTGTCGCGGATGTCGTCGTCTCCTGCTGCAGGACTGTACCAGAACCTTCACGGGTCCTCCTCTCACACCGTGGCTCTCATGAATCCAGGCCGTTCATTGGACAGCCCCTGCATTGGATTCTTGGCCGCGCTCCCCTCTTGTTCGAGGCCTGGCAAGTCAGAACTCAGAACCGAACACATCTGCATGCGACCAGTCCCTGGAACATTATTGGCAACCTGACCGCCATTCTGATCAGGACTTTTAGGATGCTTTCTCCTGTGCCTTGCGGAGTAATCGGGTCAACTTCAGCCTTTCAACCTCGCTCTCCCACATGACGTGCGGTAGTGGATCCCACACGGTGACGGAAGGGACAAAAGGCGCGTCGTGCGCCTGGACAACCGGTCTGGTCGCAGCCGCGCCAATGAAGCAGTGTTGGAGAGGATAATACTTCAGACAGCACAGCAACTTTGAATGATACAGAAGACACTTCATTCTTACAGGAGAGTCCTGCTCTGCCATTGAGTCGTGGGGAAGTTCCCCTCATTTTCGATCGACAGGAGATCATCACAGCTTTGCCGACGCTCTCACCGCCTTTCGTGATAGAGACTTCTTGCTATCTTGCGAGCCGTCCTGATAATGCACCCGTTACTTGCCTAAGGTAATCAATCAATCAATTGTCCACGCATCATCTCCCTCTTCGCCCGATTGGAGCCCGATAACCCCATCTCAACTCTCCAGAAGATTCTCCAAACTCCCCTCCAGGATATCCAATCACAACCAGCTCGTGCTCGGAATTGCCCACGTACCTTACGATGTTGGTCATAGACACGCCATCCGCAAGTCTCCTTCGCAGCCGGTGTTTGGCGGGGCACGATAAATGGTGGATTGGTGGGGCAATTTCCCACTCTCAACCGTCAACCAGAACGACTGCCGAGTCCCTATATATGTAGACTCCTCGTCCCGCCCGCTTCCTCTCTCTTCTCTCTTTCATCAACATCACTTTGGCAGAAAAAGCATCAATCCAATCCCTTCACACCTCTTCGTTCACCACCTCCCTCTCCAACCCCACAACTAACCTAGTAGGTCGCACTTTCGAGTGTGATCGCACCAGTCGTCAAGACGTTTTCCAATCTCCTCAACTCGTAAGTCGTGTGCGTTCCGCCGTGCTGTCTCTCCTCACCTTTCTCAACAGCTCGCACCATCCGTTCGCTGGAGCCCGTTGCTCTTCCGCTGCAGGGGCATCGGACTCTCCGTTTAGCAAGTAAACGTATCCATCCTCACCGAAACTAAATCACCGCCTTCACGCTCTATCAGCCCACCCCGAATACTCTCTGATAAAGATGGCTCCCCACGCGGACGTCGGAGCGGGCTCCTCGAACGGACATGGTTCAATCAATGCGGCGAACAAGGATCTCTTCACTGTCAGCTCTCCCAACGTCACCTACACCGAAAACGAGATCAGGTCTCGGTACACTTACCGTACCACCTCGGTCGAACAATCACCGGACGGAAAGTATGTGGCTACTCCCAAGGAGACCGTCTACGACTTCAAGGTTGATCGCAAGGTTCCAAAGACTGGTGTGATGCTCGTCGGGTGGGGTGGAAACAATGGTTCCACGGTCACTGCCGGTATCATTGCTAACCGTCGCGGCCTTGTCTGGGACACTCGCGAGGGACCGCGCGCTGCTAACTACTATGGTTCGGTCGTCATGGGATCTACGATGAAGCTTGGAACAGATGCAAAGACTGCCAAGGATGTCAACATCCCCTTCCATGATGTCTTGCCTATGGTCCACCCTAATGACTTGGTCATTGGTGGTTGGGACATCAGCAGCATGAACTTGGCTGACGCAATGGACCGGGCTGCCGTTCTCGAACCCACTCTTAAGGCACAGGTTAAGAAGGAGATGGCCGAGATGGTTCCTCTTCCCAGTATCTACTACCCCGATTTCATTGCCGCTAACCAGGAGGATCGTGCCGATAACGTGATCAAGGGCAGCAAGGCCTGTCCCGAGCATGTTGAGCAGATCCGCAAGGATGTTCGGTAAGCAGCAACCTTGAAATATCCTGATTGCCGTAGGCTCATATATATTACTAGCGAATTCAAGGCGAAGAATGCATTGGACAAAGTTATTGTTCTATGGACTGCCAACACCGAGCGTTTCGCTGACCTCATTCCCGGCGTCAATGACACCGCTGACAACCTCCTCAAGGCTATCGAGAATGGTCACGAGGAGGTCGCGCCATCCACCGTGTTTGCTGTCGCCTGTATTCTGGAAGGCGTTCCATTCATCAACGGATCTCCCCAGAACACCTTTGTTCCAGGTGCCATTGACCTTGCCGAGAAGCACAATGCGTTCATTGGTGGTGATGACTTCAAGTCTGGCCAAACCAAGATGAAGTCCGCCCTCGTTGACTTCTTGATCAACGCTGGTATCCGGCTCACTTCCATTGCCAGCTACAACCACCTCGGAAACAATGATGGAAAGAACCTGAGTTCCCAGAAGCAGTTCCGTTCCAAGGAGATTTCCAAGTCGAACGTTGTCGACGACATGGTCGAAGCCAACACTGTTCTCTACAAGAAAGGCGAACACCCTGATCACACCGTTGTCATTAAGTACATGCCAGCTGTTGGTGACAACAAGCGTGCTTTGGATGAGTACTATGCTGAGATCTTCCTCGGTGGCCATCAGACCATCTCGTGAGCCCTCCGCCTTCTCTCAAATTAAGTACGATACTAACAAGCACGCGCAGCATCTTCAACGTCTGCGAGGACTCTCTTCTTGCTTCCCCACTAATCATCGATCTCGTTGTCATTGCGGAGATGATGTCTCGTATCCAGTGGAAGGCTCAATCCGCCGACGGTGTTGCTACCAAGGACTTCAAGAACTTCCACAGTGTTCTCAGCGTTCTCAGCTACATGCTCAAAGCTCCTTTGACTCCTCCTGGAACGCCAGTCGTCAACGCCCTTGCTAAGCAGCGAAGTGCTTTGACCAACATCTTCCGTGCCTGTGTTGGTCTCGAGCCAGAGAATGACATGACCTTGGAGCACAAACTATTTTAGCTCTACTGATTTCCAGCTGGTGTGTGATGGAGAGGTAGTTTAGATTGCCTCGTGGGCCTTTCAACCTCAGGTTCTACAACATGGCGATCAGTGTCATGCATTCTTTCATTAGACACATATAGCAAATAGAAGTGCAATTGCTCTTCTGAATAGTTTTCCGTTACTTTTGAAATGTGACTTTTATGTGCACCGCCATTGCTGCTCCTCTCATGCGAGGTTTGAAGTTGAAATGTGTGATGGGTGTTTCTGTATTAGTCCAAAACTACCTAGCGCAGGAGTGTTCCCACGTGTCTCGCCCAAAGCAGTTTCAACGTCTCTCAGAACCATCATACATGCGCTGTAAGGTAGTCCCTCATTAAAACCATTTCTCCTTTTCCAGCTGGTGCATCTCGCGTTACAATGGCACCAACACAGGCGTATCCGTCGATACAGGCTTTTTACAAGAGGGAAGTTCCCACGTCAGCGGGGTCCGCTGCACCTCCAGAGCCTCCCAGACAAGGCGATGGCTTCACGGAAGGCGAATTGGCAGATGCGCTTGACCCATTGAACCGGAAGTGGGATCCTGAACGAGAGTACGAAGAATCAGGAATTGCAGAACTAGTCCCAGGCCCAAAAGCCGTCACCTTCGTCGGGAGAGTCGTGAACGTGAGCACCGTTTGGGGCCGCAGCCAAAAGCAACCGAAAGCTGCGGGCTGGCACTACTTGATATTGAAAGATGATTTTGCTGCTATTTCAGTCTGATGTTTGACCTACAGCTGACATCCATCGAGGCTAACTCCCTCGCAGATCAAACTGTACTTCTCTCGCAAGGAGTACCCTCTCAAGCTCGGCCAGCTTCTTACTATCTGGACAGTCTTCATATCTGATGCATCGAAGACCGACACAACGGTGATACCTTCAGTACTTATCTACGCCAACTTGTTCCCAGGCCGCGTCACTTCCGACCATATCATGATTCACACAAACAGCAGCACAGACGAGATATGCCGCGCACCGCTTGACTATCACAAAGACCGAGCTCTCCCCGGTCTCATGACACTCGACAGCTATATCAGAAGTGGCCACGATGGCGTCGCCGGAGTGAAGATCCTCGTCTGCATCAAGAGCATCGGTGCACGGAAACGAATCACGACAAAAAAAGGAGCTGAGCGAGACCTAGCAGAAATCATCCTCTTTGATCACACATCAGAAGCGCGATGTACGCTCTGGGGTGAACTCATCGATTCTGCGAAAGACTGGCAGCCTGGAAAGACGATTCTCTTGATCTCGAATCCCGGGTATCGAGTAGGATACTCGGGGAAAGGAAACATCGGCATCCAACACTCGACAATGATCGATATCAATCCCGAGTTTCCTGATGCGCACTGGTTGAAGAAGTACGCAGCAGGATTGACCAAGAAGGAAAGCCTGTGTTTGGAGTTCCCCGAAGATGTCTGGGATATTGAGGCTGCGGAACATGGGATTTATAGGAATTTGTATACGCTTGCTGAAATTGATGAATGGTTTGTTCGACTTGCAAATTTGAGCTAACTCTGATTATTCTTCTGCTAATAGTTACAGGGTACGCTCGGAGCCGCGCCAGGTCTTCACAGGCTATATTAATGTCACTATCATGGAGATGTCTCTCGTGCTCCATCATCGCCGCAACATGCTCATGTGCACAGAATGGTATCTACCCCCCCCCCCCCCCCCAAAAAAGACCCAACTAACCGCCTCTTCTTCCACCCCTCCAGCTGCGGCATCCCCATCTACGCCAACACGCTCCACACCACCTGCCTTAACTGCTCAAAACCCCTCACTCTCTCCCTAAACCCAAAAATCATCGGCACGCTCCTCGACGAAACCGGCAGCATCGCAGCCGGGAAACTGCTCTGGAGTGCTCGCGCCTGGGAACAGCTGCTTGGCCGCACGCCAGCCCAGCTCTCAGACATGAAGGGCGAGGAGATCCGGGCGCTGGAGCAGCGCATGGGCTTTTTGCGCATGCATTTGGTGTTTGGATGGGCGGAGAGCGTGGGAAGATTGGCGGTTTTGGGGATGTGTATGTGAGTGAGTTGTCTGGCTGGGGCGTGATTATATGCTTTTGGGGGAGTTTTGCTAGGTAGGTAGGGATTCCGTCATAAGATAAGTTTTCTTTTTGCTATATATTCCTCGCATACCCACCTATATAACGTCTCTTCATTCATCCATTCATCCCGCCTAACTACCTCCCTAGAACATCAAACCCATACCTCCTTCTTTTCCCAACCCAACCAACCTACCTACCTACCTAACAAGCCCAATCTCCAACCCATACTAACGCAAGATATACAATTCTCGATCTTTCGAATATCCATACACACACTCAAAGAACAACTTATTAAGCGCCTCTATATAAGCAGGCTATAGACAGTTGGATTGAGCAGAGACTCTGGTGGGATGTTTTTGGAAATGCGGATTTTGCTTTGGGATAAGATAAGGGTGTTTATTTATTTATGTACGGTAAGGTAGGGTAGGTAGGTAGGGTACCTGGATCTACTGTAAATTTAGAGAGAGAGGGGGGGGGGAGGGTTGATGAGAAATGAAAGTTTGCGTATGGCGTAACGAAACGTAACGAGCTTGATATATTTAGTCCCCTTTTTTTCAGAAACGGTTTCCCTTATTATTTATTGCTATCTGATTTGATTTCCAGAGTATTGGTCATATCTGTAGACTGGACGGGAGCATTGGTGCTCTAATTTCAACTTGTTGAACAGTTTCTCTCATTAATTCATAGCAAGCATATATACTATACAACCCCGAACCTAACCATAACCACAAAAAAATTATCCATGAAAACTCCAGAAAACCCCCCCCCTAAACAAATAAATCTAAGCCATTGCAGCAGTAGGCACCCTCTGTCCACGCTCCAAGTTTCGTCCCGTTCCAGTCTTCTTCCCAGCGCCTGGTCTAGCCAAGGTGTATTTGGCGAATGCACGTGCAAGAGCTTTCTTACAACTGACTTTCTGACTTCCAACGAATGAGTCGATGGTGACGGCGATAGCTCGATCGACGTCCTGAGATGAAACGTAATCTGAGAGACGCATGCGGCAGAATCCTTCACTGATTCGCATTATGGCTTCTAGATGACGGATCTAGTTGTATGTTAGACGGCTAGGATAATAAGGGGAAGAAGGGAAGGGAAGCTTACGGTAATGGGGTAGGCACCAGTAGCTAGTGACTCTCTCCTCATATCAGCGAAGAGTTTCGAAACCTTCTCCTCGTCGATGTTGTAAAGTTTGGGCTCGCATCTCTCTCTCGCATAGAGGATGTACTTTCGGAGTAATTCCTGTGGGATTTGGCCTTCTGCCTGCTCTTCCCGCGTATCTTCTTCAACCTCCATCGAGTCTTGACCTCCTTCAAGAGTTCCCGGATGTGATTTTCCATGGGAACTGACGACGAATCTCGCAAGCCTTTCATCTTCAGCTGGATCAACAGTATCGCGGACAACACAAAGAATATCGAAACGTGACAGAATTGGCTCCGTAAGCTCGACATTTTGGGAGAAAGGAATTGTCGAATTGTAGCGACCGCCGATTGGGTTAGCTGCTGCGATGATACCACAACGAGCTTGCAAGGTGGTGACAATTCCAGCCTTAGAAATAGAAATTGTCTGTTGCTCCATGGCTTCATGAATGGAGGTACGATCCTGGTCATTCATCTTGTCAAACTCGTCGATCAGGCAAGTACCCCTATCTGCAAGAACCAATGCGCCGCCTTCCAGAGTCCACTCGCTTGTCAGAGGATCTTTCCGGACACTAGCTGTCAAACCAACAGCACTGGCTCCTTGACCAGTAGCAAAGACTGCACGATGTGCGGTTTTCTCAACATATTTGAGAACCTGCGATTTTGCTGTCCCGGGGTCACCAAGAAGAAGCACATTAATATCCCCACGGATATGAAGCTTGCCCTTCCTCTCCTTGGCAACACCGCCAAACAACGACAGAGCAACGGCAGTCTTGATATCAGTATGGCCGTAAATGCTAGGGGCAATTGATTGAATGATCTTGTCAACAATTTGAGGGTCCTTGGAGAGAGCTCGAATCTGATGCTCATCGGCCTCGGTCAGCCTGAAACCTGCGAGCTGATCATGAGATTTGACGACGTTATTGGCCTCGAGTATTGTGGCAAATACCGGGAAACCATTTCGATTGTTGAGTTGAGCGTCATAGTTGTTGCGGTAGACTCCTGTGACCTCAATTTCCTCTCCTGGCTTTGCTTTGTCAATCAAATCCCATAGGAGAATGACCTCGCGGTGACGCGGGAGACGACCAGCAGGGACTGTGCCCGGAGATTCCTGAAGAGTGAGCTTTTGGTAGTTCCGGTAGACTGTTTTTTCGGAGTTGAGATTGAACGGTCCACGAGACTGGCAGTTCTGGCAATAGGAGATCTTAACCTCCACATTAGACTCCTGCTGGAAGGGTCCAAGCCTGGTATTGCATTTGGCGCAATCAAACATCACATACTTCAACTGAGGGAAAACCCCACTTCGTCGGGTGACAACTCCACTGACACGCACTAAGCAGTTCAAATGGGTTTGACGCAATTGGCGAAGGGTGTAGTGAACTGGCAAGTCTGAAATACGGACGTGGATCTCTGAGTGGATTCGCTCATATTCAGGGTAATGGAGTAGGGTGACATCCATCGCAACCTCGTCGAACAGTTTGAGCATCTCTCCAGGAGCATTTGCTAAGAAGTAGGCCAAGATAGCCTTAGAAGACGAGAGGTGATCGTATGAAACCTCTAGGGATTCCGCGTTCATCATACCGAGGGACTTAATACGATTTCCGTATACCGAGTCACCATGCTCGTCGGTATATTCGGTCAAGAAAGCTTTAAACTCGCGTTTGATGGTTCTCTGGACGGCGTGTTGAGAAACCCATTCGACCAAGCTGGATGCTTTTACATCTTGCAACGTCTCAAGAGAGAGTTCTTCTTCCATGATATCTTCCATCACATCATCCTCTTCATCCTCGTCATAATGGTGACGCTTGGGTCTGTGTCGTCCAGTTGTGAGTTGGGCTAGGTCTCCTTCATCGTCGTCGTTGAGGAAAGCATTTGCTCCCATGCGTCGTTGACGAGCCAGTTCACGATCGCGTTTATTCAAGCGGGATTCAAGCCCTCTTCTAGTCGCAAGATCAAGCGCCTCATATTCGCCTTCATCATCGATATCCCTCTCGGAGTATCGGTCATCGTCACGGGCCTGGTAGTCACGTTCGAAGTTATTGCCGAATAGGTCGATCCCATCCTCGTCTTCTGCCATTTCGTCGGCATCGTCAATATCAAGAGCAATCTCAGCATCATCTTCTATAATATCATCGTCGTCATCACCGCCATGCTGAATTGGATAGGCAGGAGGAGAGGATCGAATGTCGCCAGCTGGGCTTGATACACCAAGACCAGAAGGGATATCGTCCTCGGGTTCTCTGGAACGCTTGCGTCGATTCCGATTTGCCGTTCCACGGTTTGCAGAAGACATATGGGGTCGCAAGGGGGAACTGTTGAAAATCTATCAGCTTCGATTCAGGGGGACTCCAAGGAAAGGGGAAAGGGGAAACTGTATGCCGATGTACGAACCTCATGGTGATTCACGAGTATGTTTAACAATTCCGAGAAGAAGTAACTGTATTCGAATATGTCGTAAGAATCAGGTGCGCAAGGTCGGTGGTGACGTTGGTGGTAGGTAGGGCGGTGGTGGTATTGGGTTGTATACACGTTGTAAACGAAAGACGAGAAAGTGGGCGCGTAAAGATGTCGCGAAAAGTCGCGGTCAATGCGTGTTTAGGCTAAACTCAATTTAGCCGACGCGTTAAGTGGTTTCTGCCTCAAGGCTGCCCCAGATCGAACGTAACCAACCCGCGTCTTGCGCGACCAACTTCCCTATATCTGACCCTACTTTCTGTCATATCCACGCATTCTCTTAATTAGCCAGAGCATCATGGATACTACGCCAGTTCATGACGCTGGCGCCGGTGAACTTCCCAGCGGCCAGACTAATGGCAAGTCGCGAACCCAGAGTTTCTCCCAAAAGTCGGATGATTCGCATACAGCAGCTGAGTATGTTTCTACGGATTGCTTCATCTAGACTTTCCATGAGAGTACGAGATATAGCACAGCGCTCACATCTCCCTAGGTTTCTTGATAACCAACTCCGACTCGAGGCTGATGCGCGCGAAGCTCTACCATATGTAAGGAGCGGTCATTATCCAGTTGCGACTGCAAGACTAATCACATACAGAGCATCGATAACTGCACAAAGCCCCTAGGACCTCTTCGTCAGATAGTCTTTGCTTGCTTGACATGCAATCCCCCACCCGCTAATCCCACCGACCCGTACACACCTGCCGGCGTTTGCTATTCTTGCTCGATACAATGCCATGGCGAGCACACTTTGGCGGAGCTCTTCAACAAGAGGAACTTTACCTGCGACTGCGGAACGACTCGTCTACCGTCAACCTCCCCGTGTACTCTGCGCATAAATCCAGAAACAAACACACAGGGTGGTGTGCATTCTGAAACTCCAGACCCCAACAACAAATACAATCAAAACTTCCAGAACCGCTTCTGTGGCTGTGAATGTGATTATGATCCGGAACAGCAGAAAGGGACAATGTTTCAATGTTTAGGATTAGGCACAGCTGAAAATGGTGGATGTGGAGAGGATTGGTGGCACCCCGGATGTGTTGTTGGTCTGGGTCCAGACTGGTTCGAGACCTCGAGTAAAAAGGGCACGCCAAAGGAAGTGAAGAATGAAGGGCTTTTGGAACCAATTACAGAAGTCGCCGAGGCTGCTGAGGATGAAGCAAAGTCAACTACGAAGGAGGATGTACAAGTCAACGGATCAACCGAGGCAGGTGAGCCCGCCGAGACAGCAGAGCCCAATGAAGAGGACGAAGAGGATGAAGACGACGACCCACCGATGCCACCGGGGTTTCCACCTGAGGACGACTTTGACGGCTTTATCTGTTACAAGTGTGTGGATGCAAATCCTTGGATCAAGCGATATGCTGGTGCACCCGGCTTCTTGGGCCCAGTGTTCAGACGAAGCGCAGCTCCATCTCCCGAGGAGGCCATTTCGTCCGATCTATCAAATGGCAAAAAGCGCAAATTAGAAGATGAAGAGCCGGATCTTTCTCCTGTGAAGCGACTGAAGGACGACGCATCTGTCGATGGGGCTGCTTCTACTGAGTTGCCTGGCACAGCAAACAATACCACGAACTCCTCAGATGCGGCAGACAAACCCTGCAAAGTGAAAACACTGCCACCAGCGCCTGTTGGTCAGATTTCACTTTTCTTCAAATCTGATTTCCGAGACCATCTATGCCGCTGCTCTGACTGTTTCCCTAATCTGGCCAAGCATCCCTATCTGCTGGAGGAAGAAGAGACCTACGAACCGCCCCTTTCCGAAAACGGCGATGAAGCCGGAGGCAGTACTATTGGAAGCGGTAGTATTTATGAGCGTGGTGAGAGTGCCCTCAAAAACATTGATCGTGTTAAAGCCATTGAGGGGGTGATGGCATACAATCACTTGAAGGACAAACTCAAGCCATTCTTCCAGCAATTCGCAGAGAGTGGTAAGGCGATCAGCGCAGAAGATATCAAGGCGTATTTTGCGAAGATGAGAGGTGATGAGCAGGCTATCCAGGAAGCGGGTGAGGGTGCCAAAAGTGCAGATAATAGGACAGAGCAGAGTGGACATTGATTGGAACTCTGCAGGGTGCTTGTAGGATATGTTTATGGAGTATGGGCGGAGGAACAGGGCCACGGCATGGCACTTGCGGTATATCAATATGGAAATGGCACCGGGTGCTATAATTGAATGAATAATGAGTCAAGTGCCTGTGAGGCCTTATAATATCCTTAAGTTCTTATTGACTTCGCCTCACCAAAGTGTCACTTTTGTAGGCAATCCTATAGCCTATGGGTTGGGGACTGCCACTGTCTGGATGTCTGTCTGGTCCTTTGAAGTTTTGAAATTGAGAACTCATTGTCCTATTACGTCCGCTTGCTACTAGTCTCAAGAGCGCCAGAAGAGAAGATATTATATGCAAAGAGGTGAACAGAGTTGCACTGAGCTAAGTAGTGGAAATCCAAGTGAAGTTAGAAATACAGAGGTGCAACGAAACTTAGGTGAACAGGGTTGCTGCGACGACATGTTAGTGAAGAGTAGACATTATGACGTAAACAGCTGTGTAGATGTGCAACAAAAGAGCAGAATAAAGGAGGGCAGCCTGGGTGCCTAGTGAGGGAGGTCGAAGAGAACGTAGATGTACAACGAAATTTGGGTAAAAAGGAGGGTTGCTGTGGTTACCTACTAGTGAAGAGTAGATGCCCTGATGTAAATAGACGTGTAGATGTGCAACAAAAAATAAATAAGGGGTATTCGGTAGCAGAGTGAAGCTTGAGCGAGCGTAAATGTGCAGCGAAAGAGTAGGGAGGTAAGTAGGTAGCGAAAGGGGGAGCTCGGGGTTTAAGCGAGAACAGAAAGGGGGACAAGTCAAGAGTAGAAATATAAGTGTGAACTTATGTGCACATGTACAATGGAAATGCTTTAGTAAAGCTTATACAAACTAGTAAACCACCTTACAATATATAAGCCCCCTTGAATTCTCTTTCCTAACCTTCCTCCCTACAAAATCATCTCAGTCTTCCTGATTGTCATAGTTTAGAAGATGGCATACCTTAGCCCCCCAACTTTCAATTACGGACTCTATCTCACACATTTATCTTATCTTGGTTAATGAGGGTGAATATCACGTGCGTTGTTGTCAAATTCCCGTGACCTTGTCATTGTGACTCTCGCACGTGACAATGAAGCACGTGCTTTCACAATGACGATGTTAGGTAGGAGTGAATGATGGCTGAATGTCCAGAATAATGAGAGTCACTTAATGGGGTAGGAATAAAGAAAGGGAAAAGCAGGCAAGGTGTGCACCTCATGTGCTGACAGTTTCCTAGTGTAGAGGAGAAAACTAGAGAGAGGGGAGGGGGGTTTATATACACAGGTACCTTACCAGGTAGGAGGTATAAATCTATGTTCTGAACACAATTATTTATTTACATTAGTTATCATAGAAAACAGAGTAATTGAAAACTCGAAGGTAGGTAGGAGGTATAAATCTCTGTTCTAAACACAATTATTTACATTAGTTATCATAGAAAATAGAGTAATTGAAAACTTGAAGGCGAGTCGGAGGGGCTTCTTCTTCCTTTTCTCTACCTTTGGTGCCCTTCGTATCGTAAGGTAAACGCATGATATCACGAGCTGCTGGTCGACTCCGTATGTGGGACCTTGGTGGAGACTGGAGGGGACAGTGGAGACTGGAGTACTTCAATCCCGAAGATTTACCGGCCCTACCGTGACTTTTAACCCGGAGATCTACCGACTTAACATCCCACCGCCGAAGTCGAACCAATCGATTGTCTGTCTCTGCTGCTTGGAGATCATTTTGGCCCGCAGTGCAACGCTTGCTGCATATTCTCGGTCTGGAGACGCCCGGGTTACTGCTGGGATAGTGTTTGGTCTGGTAGGTTGGGAGCTTGCCCCTCTGCAAGACGGGTGAGTATGTAGAGCCGAGCTCTCTCTTACTTTCCCATCGACGTCTCCTTCTTTCTCTATCATTGTCTTTCACATTGTCTTTTTTAAGTGTAGTCAGGCGACAACAAGATGACAGGAACTGTTGACGTAGAAGAAGTCCTCTCCAAGCTCGACGTTGTGGAAAAGGTCTCCCTGCTAGCAGGTATGACCCATTGATTTCCCAATACAACCCATCACACTCTTACTGATGAGCACCAGGCGCCGATTGGTGGCATACGCAGTCCCTCCCTCAACATGGCGTCCCTGCGATTCGAGTCTCTGATGGTCCCAACGGTGTCCGCGGTACCAAATTCTTCAACGGTGTCACAGCAGCATGTTTCCCCTGCGGGACTGCTCTAGGTGCAACATGGGATACAGACCTCTTACACAAGGCTGGCATTGTTATGGGACATGAGAGTAAGGCAAAAGGAGCACATGTGATTCTTGGACCTACGATAAATATACAGCGTTCTCCTCTCGGAGGTCGGGGTTTTGAGTCCTTGTCAGAAGATCCTGTGCTGGCTGGACTAGGAGCTGCAGCTCTCGTCAATGGTATCCAAGAGACTGGTATCGTGGCCACGATCAAGCATTTCTTGTGTAACGATCAAGAACATGAGCGGAGTGGGACAAATGCTATTGTAACTGACAGAGCTCTGAGGGAGATTTACGCCTTGGCATTCCAATTGGTCACCCGCGACTCTTCTCCTGGGTGCTTTATGACAGCATACAACAAAATTAATGGCTTGCACGTCAGCGAGAATCCCAAACATTTAAGGGATATATTGAGGGGTGAATGGGGATGGAATGGGTGTATTATGAGTGATTGGTGAGACCCCTTTGCGCCTATCAATTATGCAAAATTAACATGGAATAGGTGGGGCACATACTCGACCTCGGAGGCTATTAATGCTGGCCTCGACTTGGAAATGCCAGGTCGCACCAAATGGCGAGGCGAGATGTTGGTCCAAGCCGTTGGGGTAGGTAAGGTACCGCAGCATGTCCTCGATGAGCGAGTTCGGAATGTTCTGAAGCTTGTGAATCGTTGCGCTGCTGCAAATATACCAGAATATGCTGAGGAGAAAATGGCAAATACTCCGGAGACTGCGGCGTTGTTGAGGAAGATTGGAGCTGATTCTATTGTCTTGATGAAAAATGAAGGCAATATCCTACCGTTGAGGAAGGATAAGAAGGCGGGTCCTTGAATCCATTCTTAGACTTAGAGCTGCTGGCTAATCGGATAGCACAGACACTGATATTGGGCCCCAATGCCAAAGTTGCAACTTACCATGGAGGAGGGTCAGCCTCTCTGGCCGCATATTATGCAGTAACACCATTTGATGGCATCAGCTCTCAACTTACCTACCCACCAGAATACACAGTTGGCTGCTATGCACATAAAGACCTCCCGCTCCTCGGCACCCTACTCAAAACCGATAAGGGAGAGCCGGGCGTAACATTCCGTGCCTACAATGACCCACCCTCGGTTGAGAACCGCGAGGTCGCTGACGAGATCACTCTTACGAAGACCGAACTTTTGATGATGGATTACAATTGTCCCAGACTCAAGAGCTCCCTTTGGTACGCCGACATTGAAGGCTCCTTCACCGCCGAGGAAGACGGGGACTTCGAGATGGGTTTAGGTGTTTATGGAACGGCGAAGCTGTATGTCGATGGCAAATTACTGATTGATAATGAGACGGTGCAAAGGCAGGGGACTATGTTCTTTTCATGTGGGACTGTTGAAGAAAAAGGCATTCTGCCAATTAAGAAGGGCCAAACATATCGGATCAAAGTCGAGTTTGCGAGCGCCGCGGCTTGCAAGCTTGAAAAGGGAAGTAATCCTCTCTTCGGAGGCGGTGCTGTTAGGATAGGTGGCGCCAAGGTCATTGATGCGGATGAGGAAGTGAAGCATGCTGTGAACTTGGCGAAAAACGCCGATCAAGTAATTATATGTGCTGGCTTGAACGTATGGACCCTACCCTTCTCTTCCTTTATCCTGAGCTAACTTCCCCACAGTCCGACTGGGAATCCGAAGGCTCAGACCGTGACAGCATGTCCCTCCCGGGGCACATGGATGCCTTAATTTCCGCCGTCTCAAATGCCAATCCATCCACAGTAGTCGTCATGCAATCTGGAACACCAGTCGGCATGCCCTGGATCTCCTCCGTTAACGCTCTCATCTATGCCTGGTACGGCGGGAACGAAACAGGCAATGCGATTGCCGACATCTTATTTGGAAATGTGAACCCGTCAGCTAAGCTGCCGTTGAGTTTTCCGAAGAGAATTGAGGATAATCCTGCGTTTCTGAGTTACAGGACGGAGAGGGGCAGGACCCTCTATAGTGAGGATGTCTATGTGGGGTATAGGTGGTATGAGCAGCTGGATTTGCCGGTACTTTTCCCTTTCGGCCACGGACTTTCATACACGAAATTCGAGTTCTCGAACCTGAAGGTCGAGCAGGGGGAGAAAATGCTCAATGTCAGTGTCCAAGTCAAGAATACGGGGAACAGGGACGGCGCGGAAGTAGTACAGGTCTATGTGGCCCAGAAAAAGCCGAGTATCAGGAGGCCGAAGAAGGAACTGAAAGGTTTCAAGAAGGTATGGTTGGAGAAGGGAGAAGAGAAAGTGGTTCACGTGTCGATCGAAGTCAAGTATGCGGCAAGTTTTTGGGATGAGGTTAGGGAGGCATGGATAATGGAGAGAGATGGGTACGAGGTTTTGGTAAGCAACAGCAGTAACGCGGAGAGTGCACTGAAAGGGAGCTTTGAGGTGCAGAAGACGAGTTGGTGGAACGGGCTCTAGAGTCTCGTTGAGCTGGAGAAAATATTCATTGCTGAATATTCGACCTTCAATTATCAAGACAAAGCTGTTAATTGAAAAGATTACCCCAAGCCCCTCCGAAAAAGATATCTAAGGGAGGTTGCATGGAAAGCAAGTGCTACTCCTTATCAATACTAAGCAAGCCAGGACTCAAGTGAGCTAGGAGTGTATACAACCTCGGGCATACCTCTTCCAAGCAAGTCACGTTATTGATTTCGTTTTCACATCTTGAGCTTCCCAGAAAGACGGCAAATTTCAAAATTCATAAGGACTAGCAAGCCAATCTATGTCCTCAAAACGAGTTACCATTTACAAAGCAAGCAAACCCGCCGTAAAACCATCCAATTTTTATGTACCGCTAGAACCCAAAACTCGTCGAAAAGCATATCATTTATGGTATCGTATCATCAACCCTCCCAATCTTTCCTAACCAGAGGCTCATTCATTCATTCATTCTGTTTCTGGATATCATGTTCCGCGCCCCGCTGCTGCGTCTTCCCAGCATCGTGCTTATCCTGCGCCTCTAACTGTGCCTCCCGATCACCGGTGATGCCAGCAACGGCTCCGCCGACGGCACCACTGACACGGTCTTTGACGCCGGAGCCGAGGTCGTTGAGCTGGCCTTTAGCTTCTTGACTTTTCCCTTCGGCGTTTTGTCGCTGGCCTTGTTGTTTGAGATTCTGTTATTTGGAATGTTAGTATAATAGTATGTATATGATATATTCAAATTGATGGCAATAGGGGAGAAGTAAGGTAGGTACGAACTTCAGAGCCTACAAGACCACCAAGGAATTCCTTCCCGGATCCAAGAGTCTGGTTCCAGGAGCCCGTGCTGCGGTTCGGATCATCTTTGGTGACGGCACCTGTGGATGAAGCAGAGTAGTTCCCAACTTTGGCCGTTGCGTGTGAGGCGTCGTTCTCGAGCTGGGCTTGGTCTTTCTTCTCTTGCCCGGCGTTCTGATTCTCACTGTTAGCTGCAGTGTGGGAGGGAGGGGGTTTGGAAGGTGGGAGCGGACCTTGTCAGCGCTGCTGCCAGTTAGGCTACCGACGGCGGATTGGACTGCACCGCTAGCAGAGTCAATGTAGGATTGGAGAGTGGAGGTGTTCTTGTCAGACATGATTGCTGTTGTTTGCTTGCTTCTAAAGTATTTGTTGAAGTTGAAAATCGTATTGGAATTGTGCAAAGAACTTGGGAAGTTGATATTGTGATTGTTTTTGTTGGTGGAATGGTATCTTACTGTGGTATGAGAAGGCTCTTATATATATAATTCATAACCCCTGTGTCTTCAGCTGTGAATAAATATAACCAGGCCCTGGATTCATTTCGCCCCGCATGATGTCATTGACGATCATTGACGATCCTCAGCCTTGCGTTTACCCCTGTACCCATACAAAACGCCACCAAAGAAACCTGCAATCACTGGGACTTGCAGACGTCTGCGTCATTCAAGGCTGTGCGTGGCATTATGATTGGAATGTTGAATGTGAAATTCTTTGTCATAAAGGGGCATATGTGGATTGTATTATCTCTACCCTCACAATGCCAACGCCTTCTATGAGCTTAGACCAACCGAGTCTGGATGCAAATTAACCCCTCTATCAGAATCCACCGAATCAATTTTCACCTTCGTAGAACTTCTGTCTTTCATGAAGATTATTCGACAGAACCTTCTGATACTTTGCCTCATCCCACACCCAAAGACCGTGGGTCCCGTCGAAATCCCCCTTTATTGAGGTCTGTCCCGGTATCCCCCCAGCCAGCTCCTCAACAACGGGATCCCCTTCTACCCGAGTAAAATATCGCCGGGGATATTCTTCTCCGAGGGACTTCTCTATCTTGCGCATTTCTCGTTGCTCGTTTTCGATCTTCGACTTCTCGTGACCAGCAGCCCTGATATCTCCTCTTTGAATAGCCGCCGCAACGTGTTGCCATGCCCTGCGCGATTCAAGTGGATGTTGCTTCTCAATTGGAGAGACTGAACAAGGTGTCCTTTTGACTGCGTTGATGTCAAATTTCTCAAGTTCTCTTTGTGTAATGATCTCCTTAATCACGTATGTCCCACTCCATTGTCCTTCGGCTGTGTATACGGCGTCCTCGGGATTCTTATCATGGAACAAGTTGGCGACAAAACCATTCCGCCTACCACTTAACCAGCCTTTGGAAATATAATCGATTTTCGCAGTATATCCAGTCGAGCTCCGGATATAACTAGATCCTTCGAGTTCGGGGAAGAGAGAGCCGGTCATGAAACCTTCGACGTGAATTTTAGGCATGGTAATGAGATAATCTTCATCATACTTGTCGAGATGAAGAAGGGCATACCCTTTGCGGTCAATGTTTACTGTGCCAGAGAAGTAGGACTTGGGAGCAATGTGTCCTTGCAGCTGGAAGCATTGTCAGAAGCGCGCTTGACTGGCACAGTCTCGAAGAACGTACCCTAACTCCATGTTCATCATTCCAAACGTTGAAGGCGGTCGCTGGGGGATGATGACTGTACGTCGTGTCAACACCTTTCCTGTATCCTCTCAATGATCCCTTACCTGACTTGCTCAGCAACAAGATTTGTTGTCCCTGATCCATCCTCCCATTTCCCAAGGAATAACTCCCCCAAGAAAGGATTCAGCGGCTTCAGACGCTTCTTCTTCCCTTCCTCATCTCTGGGATTATGCTGTTGCTTCAATGTACTGAGGAACCACTTCAATACCAACAGCGCGCGCTTTTCAGGATCGGATGCGCTGGCTGGAGCAACGAACAGAGATGGGTGTTCTGCCCAATATCCGGAGAATTCGGTCACGGATTGAGGAGAGAGGAGGAAGGGCGGTGCAGTAAGAGATGATAAGTCGCCTTTGAATGTTACAATTGACTAACAGAACATCAACCATTGTCATACTTTGGCGCCGCGGAGAATTGGGCCGGGCGGAGAGAAGGGAAACTGATATATATACCTTAACAAACTCAAACCAAGCGCTCTTCTGCTGCGGCTGCAGAGTCATATTCTCATGTGGATATTTCGATACCGACATTCTGTCCTGCATGTCTGCAGACCTTCCTTCTTCTCAAGTCCTTCGTGTTTCTTCAGACTTGTTGTATTACCACGAATCGCAGGGAAATAGTCGTGAACACGAAAGAGAAGAGATAGGATGGAAGGAAGGAAAATTGCATTGTTATTGTCATGCTGTAACTCACATGTGGTACCAACCGCTGTGCTGCTCATGCTGAGAGCTGATCCGATTGCTCGTGTACTCCATGGAGGTCTTGAAGACTGGCCGCCGAGTTGTGGACACAGGCTCGGGCAAAGGTGGAGATTATGACCTTATCTATTTAGGGATATCCTTTAAAGAACCATTGGAGACAATCATGACGAAATTGAACCACAACTGTTGATGAACTGCCTGAAAGGCCTAGGTATGTACAGTACACCAAGAATAACAAGTTCGTAACGCCCGACCAAGTCCGTTAAACCCAAACGCCAGAGCTTCGCAGCCACAGCAACAGCTGTATTCTAGAACATCTCCAACTCTGGGCCCGGCACCATCAGAACATCTCCGTCGCATCTTCACTCCTCCGCCGACCAGAATTCCGAATCCTACTCCCCTTCAACTCCCTCTCTGCATCCATTAATCTCGTCTGTACCCACATTCTATATCGCTGGTCTTCTCTCACGCTTCCGCAATTGAGGAGCTCCGTCAGCGTGGTCTTGATCTGCTGGTTGACGTTCTTCAACTTAAGTTCCCCCTCCGCGATCTCCGTCATTATACTCTCTTCAATCACAGCCGGGAGAGAGGCCCTCCTTTCGGCCAGAGTGTGCTGAGGTTCTAAATATGATTCGCTGCCGCTGCGATGCGAGAGGCGCGGCGGGTTTGTAGGGGAGGTAGGCGACCCATTCTCCGAGTCGCTGGAGGAGGTTGAGGAATAAGATGAGAGAGATGCATGTCGGAGCCGATCTGACGATCCAGACGTCGAGATCTGCGAGAGTTGTTTCTGGAGAGCGTCGTGTTGGGAGTGTAGGAGGAGGTATTTCTGGAGCGCAAATGCGCGCTCAGGTTCTTTCTGCGAAGGACGCGGGGACGAAATGGACATTCTGCTGGTCAATTGATCTGCAACAGCGCTCTTTAATAGCGTTTCTATCGAAACATAAAGATTCTTGGCGGTTTTGAGCATAGAGGGCCGGAGGCGACATATAAAGGGTCACCACAGTGACGTCGACTCTTTCACCCTCTTTTCTTTTGGATCCCAACTCGCCGCTCTGGCCGGTCAGGGGAATATGCCCCGCAACCATCGTGGGCCACTTATATCTCCAAACCATGGGACGGCTGACCTGACCCTCAGATCTGGAGATGTGGGAGACTTGGCTGTCGCTATATTGCTACTGTGGCGTCACCCTGGCCCCATTGAGCCCCAGAATCGGGAATCGAAAAGCTCCAAGCAACAGACTCCGGGCTGACCCAGGGACCCTTGGTCGTTCTCATCAACCAATCAATAAATCCAGTATCCGCTCCAGGAATGCAGGGGAGAGGACATATTATCCTCTTCTACCTATACGAAGCCTTTCAAAAGCCTTTCAAAAGCGCATCATTACTGCAGTTAGCCAAATGGCGTACGTGGACTTTCTTATCTGAACTGCCCTGATCCCGATGTTTGGAGGAATTGGGGAACGATGTCATAAGTATAACATCATGAGAAAATTCGCAACCCCTCAGTCCTGGTCCCATCACAACCAAGTGGTGTGATTGATCGTTTGCTATCACACTGTTTCATGGCCTGTGGAACGAACTTCAGTGCCTGGCTACACCACTCATATCCAGTTCCTATCACTGAACTAAGATACCCCAGGCTTACAGCCGCTTCTGCTAAGTGGTAGATAGATTCTGGCCTTATCGCAATTTTTGATATTGCATTCCAATCAGAGACTGTCTGGCCATGGTAACAGTGGAGTCTCGACCCCGCTCGTGCAGCAGCTCTCGAAGCTCTTCTAAGAAGATCGATGGTGGGGTTTACAATTTCTACAATGATTGTTTTCAGGATGCCCAATGGGCTTTGTCAATATTACCTCTTGAGGAAGCTTCAGAGCTGCGAATTCCTGTAATCTGTATCTGCATTCAATTCAACTCATTGTTTCCCGAAAACTCCGCGTGGTAAGACTCAATCGGCGATTCGAATGTTGCAATTGCACTTTTTGTGAGGAGGCAGCTAGCGATGTCGCGATAGCAAAGGCCCAGACCCGGATAGATTTCACAGTCCGTCAGAAGACCGAGTCATGTCGTTTTGAATTACACAACGATGTTAGCTTCCCAACTATCTTTCGAGGTGGTACATAGATTGTATAACTTCGACCCTCGTCTATGATGACAGTTGGACCTGTGTAAATATGTGCGAAACTTGACGCCTTCTTGAGGTACTCAGCTGATTCAGGCCTCGTTCGAGGAAGTTTCTTGGGTTTGCTGTCTAAATCTTACCTTCCTCTTACATGAGCACAAGTATGTTTCGTCGGGTAGTTCCGAAGTGTTGATCTAATATTGAAGCCCTTTTGACCTTATGAACAAGGCTGGATAGTAAGGGGGATTTGTAGCTATGTAATGGCGAGGTCTTGGATAAGTCTATCTACCCTACTAGCGCCTTGGGCGTATCGTCGGGGCAGGAGCCCTTCGTGCTGATTCTCTTAGAGGACATCGGCGCAGAGGTCAAGAAAGGGGAGTGTAGAGTGATTCTGAGTGGGATTGCGGCTTTGGGCGAATATGAGCTCTCCCTCTCATATTGTCTGCAATTTTGCCTACTTATTTTCCATCATTGTCTTCTCGTACAAGGCCATACCTTGATTAGGTTTTGCTTTCAGACACACGGGAAAATCAATAGTGAAGGCATACAGGTAATCAGGCTTGATAACCATACTACTCTTTAGAGTACAGTTCACCGATCATCTATGTTTCAATGTTTGATATTCGTATTTGAAGTTTGCTTGATATGGGATTCCTGCAAGTTCATATTCCATTTCCTTCCTATCTGCATACTCATCTCACATTTTATGGACCTTCGAGTTGCGTGTCCATTTCCTGAACGTCTTCCCGAAGAACCAGAAAATGATTCCACAGCAAGACCACACTGTAACCAGCGACATATTCGTCATTATTGGAGGTATATACCCGCTCTTGAGGATCCAAGGCGTTATGAACTTCGAGAAACCATATCCCCACACGTTCTTGTTGACGGTGATGGCTACAAAGATGGAGCCAGCCACGGGCTTGTACGAATCAACGGCATATGTCGAAGAGATAGGCGGGAGTGCTGCAACTTGGATACCCGCGCACGTGTATCCGATTATCACAATAACCTATTCCTTGCGTTAGCATGCATCCCTCTCAGGGTATTGTTTATCGTTGGCATACCCTCCAATCCCACTGATGCTCATAGCCAAGCGCCACAACAATATTACCCACGATCATCAGAATGATGTACGGAATCATGGCCGGTAATCTCATCTCCGGCTCCCTGACTCCATTATTTCTCTTCGTCAACCTCGCCGCTATCATATCGCTCAGTGGTCCGGCAGTAAAGAGCCCAATCAAGGCACCGATCAAGATAGCAAAATTAGTGAATCCGATCGAGGTCGTCGAGAAGTTATACGGCGGTGCTGCAAATACTTGCGATTGCGTAAGGTTGAGAGTAAGGAAAGAAGATGCGGACCACGATACGACGAACGCAGGGAATTGGACGATGGGGAAGAAGAACATTTTCCAGGGGAGCAGAAATTCCATGATAAGATTGCCTTCATAAGGCTGCGCAATTTTCCATTGGGCTTTCGAGGGCTTGCCACGGCCAAGCCAAGGATCCTGATGTGTATGGACATGGGCGAGCTTCTCATCCCCTCCTGAATTAACAGACTGCTGGGCCTGAATTGGTGCGTCCTTTTCAGGATCAGCATGGTCTGTTGTAGCAGTTCCGTTGCCGTCTTGAGTGGGTACTTTTTCAACCTGCTCCGCAGAGCCTGCTTTTAGAGGTGGTGACGGTACGGCACTCTGGGGAGGTACGAAGTCCCGGTTGAATTTGGTCTCGGGGAATAGGAAGATCGTGCATATCGTGGCGAATCCTAAGAGCGCTGTATTGAGCCACCAGAAATTCCTCCACCCTACAGCATTGGACATTGGACCTGCGATAATGGGCCCGACCTGACCATGTTAGAACCAACCGGCGGCTCCAGGGGGGAAGATGGAAATACCATGAGCGAACCGAAATAAAACGCAAAGTATAGAGTTTGGTATTTCCCTCGATCATGCAGGAAGATCACATCTGCGATGATCGTTGGCTGCGTGGCTTCAGCTGGCCCAGCGCCAAATCCATTGAGTCTAACAGAGATAGTCAGTCTATCCGGATCGTGATTCTTCGAAGTTAGGTCTCTCTTACACACAAGCCCCCATAAAGCTGCCATACGAATTTGCTTTTGCTCTCCAGATACTACTGCCGAAGCAGATCAAACAAGAGAAAATAAGGACCGGGCGTCTACCAAAACACGTCTGAATAGGGATCCTGGCAGATGTTAGTGGGATCTCTGTCTTGAATATCTGGAAGCTTACCAGAAGAAATTACTGAACCCGAGAACCAGAATCGCAATGCCGGTAAATTGCACAACGTCCGTCAGGTTTGAGTCGAAAGCCTCGATATAGTCTCCGAACATAGGCGCCTACAAAGTGTCAGCGGAATTGATCAATGTATCATCATATATGGGAGGTTTGTTTTACTGACCAAGGCTAGTGGCCCCATCCCTTCAGAGAACGAAACCAGCGTCGCGCAGAAGATTGTCAAGCCCTTCCACATGGGACTCCAATTCTGTATGCCATCAGTTATTATTCTGGTTGATCAAACGGTCTTTCGTTGGCGGCGCGCTTACGAGGGGGTCATGCTCGTTGTCGCTGGGCTGTGGAACCAGCACCGAACGCCCTTGAGATTTCACAAAGTGATGAGTTCCAACATCTGTCATGATCTCCGTGCCTGGATAGATCTCCGTGTGCAACTCCTGCTCAAGCTCTCGCAAGGCCTGAATTGGGCGTCCCGTGTCAGCATTTAAGTCCATACCAGTATGGAAAGATTGGCTTACATTCTCACTCAGATTCTGATCCATGATGATGAATTGAAGTGGTGGGGCTTCTCGAGAGACCCACCTTGAACCTCTGCGATCGATGGTTTCGTAGCTCGGAGACTGACAATGTAGCAAGTCGAAATACAATGTTCATGACGACGAACCTGGCACTTATTAAAGTCCTAGTAGCTAGGATCGGCCCCACCTCCAAGCTCTGTCTCCCCATGAGCTACCCCCTGTGTGCTTCCATTATCAAATGATGACAAGATGCCTTTCAAAGCCCTGATAAAGCCTCCTCGGTACCTCTGCCATTCAGAATCACTCGAAGTTGCAGGCGGAATTACTACACGGCAGTTGAACGAAGATATTTCGAAACTTGCCGACAGCTGCCCGACTGTCAAATGTATGCCGCTGTTATCAAATGATGACAACCTGCTCTGATAAAGCCACTGGGCGTCTCTAGTATCCCAAGACCGACCAACAACGCAATCACACACGCGGAATTAGCAATGTGCCAATGTAGCACTCGGCAACTGAACTAAACAATATCAAGCCTGACATACAGCATCCGGTCTATCAACTGAGTCTGCTCCGCCGTCACTTGTCAGACGCAGCAGTTCCCGGCTGAGACTTCAACCGGCCGTCCTGTTCTGCCTTGCCCTGTCTTATCCTAATCCCTCCCTCTACCCCGCAGCGGAACGCTCTACCCCATGGGGGCGGGCTCGCCTACCCCCGCTAGCCCTTCGTGCGGTGCGGAGAAAAGAAGCCTGGGGAAGCAAGCGCTCTTCTCTTGATCAAGCGCAGCAATCAGCTCCGAGGCCACCCATCACAGGCCGGGCAATCCCGTCGCAAACAAGCTCATTGCGCCGGGTCCAGACCCAGCTGGCTCGTCGGGGGCTGAACCGGAGGAATCCTGTGATACAGTCAGTACGTATGCTCCAACATTCTCTTTGGTCGCTGAGGCAAGCGGAAAGATTCCTTAGGCGTTAGAAGAGAGAACGGAAACTGGTTGTTGATGGGAGACTAGGTAGGAGTTGGGCTTCTTGGTGTTGGAAAGCTCATGTGATGTGAAGAATATCGGCAGATATCTTGCGTTGCTTCCTTACAAGTTATCTGGGCGAGGAATCGGAATCTAGGAATATCCGAAAACTCGCCGATGTGGCAGCCAGCTCCGTGCTTGCTATAACTTCCATATTATTTTAACTCCAAGAAACTATCTCTGATCCAGGCAGACATAGTGAAAAAAATCCTTGAGATATTCCGCATTAATATACCTACTCACTTGTAATCTTTCGGGACTAACGTTGCAAGCCCAGGCGTAGATGAGTATACGACACACAGGTCAAGATATCCTTTATCTCCTTTGATAATGCATGCTTGATGTTATCACGTTGGGAAAGATACGTAGATAGTCTGGGTACCTACATATATATAGGTATGACAGCCTTGGCCAAGCTTTACCCCTCCACAAGCTAATTGGTCCCAGCAACCCGACCCTAATACATGATAGCTTTCTCGAGATTTTTTCGGAGCTTAACATAAAAGCGAATCAAAATACTCGATATTTTGCGTTGCGCGTTCTCTGAGTTGGGATCTCTCGAGTATGATTGCATTATATACATATACTTGACTCCAAGGAGGTAGGGTAAAGATATAAGTTGGGATTTGTGCGCATATGAGGAGATATCAAAGTGGTACAAATAATTAAATATTGATGGTTCTAGATTCTGGCTTCATTTTCTAGAGATTGATAAGGGATGTACTGAAGCAGCTGTCCATGGACTCGGTTGTATTATTTTGTTACGACAGTATTAATATCAGTTGTAATCAACTGATGCGTTGATAGACCCTCTTGATGTGAACACCAGTCACGAGTGATGCTGTACTTCAGTAATAGTGGTGAAATTCGAATAATGCTAAAGTCTTTCCAGCAATCAGCTCTAATTCTCTAATTTCTATGATAAAAAAGAAAGCATAGCTCGAGACTGTCAAGAAGTGAAGCAACCTATTGAACGCTCTTAGTAGTTTATACATACCTATAAGAACGCATACATACATGAGCAGTCCATCCGTCCGTGCCTGAACCCACCACCATCAATCTCAACCCTACAACACCAGTGACATGACCAAAACGCCTCCCATCCAAGCCATCATGACTCCAAAGCTCATCCCTGTTCTACTGCTTGCCGCACTCTTTGTCGTGGTGTTTATTGCGACGACGTCCGAGACAAACTTGCCAGCCAAGACCTGAGAACCTGCATTATAGTACGGCATGATGACGTCCACAAGGCTGCCGTTAATCGATTGGTTCTGGCAGCCGTCCACCAGCGCATACATGTACGATGTGTACGGGTGGTATTTCAGCGTGTAGTTGGTCCCCTTGGTTACAGTGAGGAAATTGCTGCCGTATGTCTGGGAAAGGTTCACCGTGCTGACGGTTGTGGTGATGGATCCATTGATCGTGGTGTTGAGTTGGTGAGAAGGCCACAGCTGCGTTGCTGAAGAGAAGAGAGCAGTCGCATCTGTGGAGTCGGAAGCAGAGTTGAAGACGGAGTTGCTATCTTGGTTGGTGCTGTAGTTGTTGGTGGAGGATATGTTGATCTGGGGCTGGACGGTGATGGTGTACGTCTTTGGGGTAAGTTGGCAGTCGCTTTTGGAGCTGGGAGGGCAGGAGAGGAAATCAATGGCTTGTTCGAACTCGGGGCTGCTGCCGTCGGGGCCGTTCATAGCAGCGCTTAGATAGGTAAAATTGCTGCAGCCTGCAGCTGAGGCTGCTGAAAGTTGAGAGAGAAGGTATGCAGCTGAGAGCACCAGCGAGGGGAGTGATTGTGAATGCATCTTGTGACAGGTATGTATGGAGTAGGTGCTTAACCACGGAAGAGCTGGTAGTGAGTTCTCGGGTCTAAATTGACTGCAATCCCCCTCAAGCCGATGCACGCGAAGTGAGTTGACCTTTATATTAAGATGATAGAGGGCGGTGCCGCAATGTTAACAGAGGGCTGTTGGTCGTCTGTTGGTTTTCCGTTGGCTGGGACAAGGCTGTTGAATATCTGCGACCCGGGTATCCAAGTCTAAGGCACCTTATGGGGCTCAGAGGGCTAGGAGCCAAAGGATTCCGGGAGAGCCTGACCAGCGCCAACAGGAATGCCTTCAACACCGGCCCTGACTAGTGGTGTTGGTGTTGGTGCTCGGGGTTGGCTCATGAAACACAGCCTTGCGCAAAGATCCCGTGCCTTGCGCTAATCGGAGCCTTCTCCACCAGCCTTTTCAACACGTGGGGGCACGGCTCGCGCCAAGCGACGACTCCCCTTAAATGCCTTGCCCTGCGTGGATCATCCATAGCGCCATCTCCCAACGCCCAAGTTACACGATCGCGTCGAGGATTCCATTTGCAGTTCCGTTTTCAAGAGATCTCCTTTCCTATGTCGACCATGCTGGCAACAAACCGTCCGAATTGATCAAACACCTATTATTAGATACTATGCGCACCAACAGAGTAGTACTGTGGAAAGCCCGCTCTTCCGGCTTTTCCGTCGCAGCTGGCGAGGATCCCTCAGTCGCAGGACCCGCAACCCAAATAGAGGCGGCACGGGGAATGGAAATCCCAGACAATACTCATTATCTTTATACCAGGACAATTGCAGGAAGTGCCTAATCGTGTTCCTGCTGCTCGTTGTCACCGCAAAGAGGTTGACATCCATGCTGAGCATCGTGTGCTGGTGGGAAAGACAAAGACCGCCCCGACGCACCATATCACGTACAAATCCTCTCTTAGCGGGAATCAAAAGAGCCGGCTTGATGCTTTGGCAGTGGTAGTGATATCTCCATTGTAGATTTTCGAAACAGACCTGTGCAACTTCTCCGGTACGGAGAGCATGAGGCCAAGTACGCAGAATAAGGAGGAGCCAACGTCCCATGACTCCCATCCTCACTTGAGGTTGACATCAACGGGCGGCGTATCTTTGCATACGGTATACCACTGATACCAGCGTTCGAGAACGACCGAAAGGCCCCCTACTTACGGCGTATAGCGTAGATCAAGACGTACAGTGTGGGCCACGAACTGAGCCGCAAAGGTCCAGTCTGTCGACATCAAGTCTGTATGTAGTCCGTAATTACAGTACATTCTTGTCAAACAGCAGGATCAATTACCGGGTTACGGAACACTTTCCCCTGATTACTAACTGATCCTTGATTAATATATAGGGATCGATCCCTTACACCCTGTTTTTAATAGTTTATAGTATTATTAGGATTTAGGCACTTAGGTACCTATATACCTTGTTTATAGTAGATACGGCGCCTATACATGTAAATAGCAACCCCTTTTTTAAGTATATAAAGTAAGGGACTACCCTCTGTTCTATTTAATTTAATTTAATTTAATCTACTTGTTACACTACTAAAAAACACCTAAATTCGCCTGTTATATCCTCTCTTTATACTATAATATAACCTTAATTATTTAACAGTTATAAGCCCGGGTTACTTTAATAGCTATTCGGATATTTTAATATAAATTAACTTATTAACTAATTAGTACTTAGATTACTAAGCCTGTCTAATATAAAACGACTTTTTAGCTAATTAGAGCGCTTAGATTATAGAGCCTCTTAAAATAGCGTTAAAAAGGATTAATCTAACTCTTTATTACATCCCTTTAACTACTTAGTTCTAAACTCTACTAACAGCTATTTAAAACTACTACTAATAGTAGAATTATACCTAATTTTAACTGTTTTAGTAGTACTTACTACTTAGTAAAAGTACGTTAACTACTACTTTACTCTTTAGTAATAAGAGTCGCCTTTACCTTTTTTATTTACCTCTTCTTTTAATACATACTTTTATTAACTAATACTAGTAACATGCCTAGTAATATACTAGTTCTAAATAAATCTAAAGAATAAGATTACTAGATAGAAGTTATTAAATCTAAAGCGCTTAGTACTAGAGTTTAGATATATATTAACCTAGACACTATAAAAGCAGAACTCTTTGTTCTAGTAGAGCTAAGCCTTCTAGATCCTTTAGATATTAAAGAAGTCCTTAAAGATAGCTTAAGAGTTACTTACGCTATACTAATAGATAATAAGAAAGAATAATATCGTATCTACTAAAGGTATTACTCTAAACACTAAAGAGAGTATAAGCGCCTAGCTTAATTAGTTAGAGATATACACTCTCTAATTACTAGATTAGTAAAGAGAGAATACGTTAAATACGTTAATACTAAGGATATAGTATATAAGATCTTAGTAGATCTTTAGTAAAAGGTTATACCCTCTAATAAAGTTAAACAAGATCTCTTCTTATAAGATCTAACTAACGCTAGTATCTTACTAAGAAAGGGACAGTTAGTTATAGCTTAAGTAAAACGCTTTAAGTCTACTTACTTAGCTTGTTTAGTTAATAAGATACTAGAAGTTTCTAGTAATAGACTAATTAAGGCCTTTATTAACGGCTTAAAAGAAGTTAATCTATACTTTATTAAGATAGTACGCTATAAGTTACTTAAGAAAGAGGTAATAACGTTTAAAGAAGTGTTAGATAAGTTTAAACTTAACCTTAAGAGCTAAAGAGATATTAGAGTATCTAGATCTAGACACTATAGCGCCTTCTTAACTATAGACACTATACTCGGCAGAAGGGGTAGTAGTAGTAGTAATAGTAATAATAACAAGCTAAAGTATGTCTATAGTAGCTACTATAACTACTATAACTACTATTACTTAATGCTAACCTAACGTCCTAATTAGTAGAAACTAAGGAAAGATGTCTAAAAGAAGATTAACGACTAATTAAACGCTAATAGTAAACTTAAAGCTACTATTAAGTTAATTAAGAAGTAAGAAGAAGGTAGTAAAGGCAAGAAGTAAGGTAATAGCTAAAAAGGAATTATAAAAGACAAAAAAGAAGAAGTCCTTAAGGCTTTTACTATAGATTTCTTTATATCTATGTCTAAAGCTTTTTAAGCTAACTTTAGCTACTCTATTTTAGTATTAACTCTAGTAATTCTAGTAGCCTACTTAGTCTAATTACCTTCCTTTAGGCCTACTTATCCTCTTAGAGATAGCTTTATCTTAGACTTAAGAGTAATAGTTTATGTTTATAATAAGTAAGTAAGGTTTTATAATATCTGTTACAAGAAACCACTGGCCTTATCACGTAGGGTTAGTAGTCACGGGACTAGGATGCTCCGGAGGCCCTAGTCTAACCTAATTAGGGTTAGTAACCTGTTAAAAGTTAGTTGTTTACTATAGCTATAGAGGCACTTTATATAATTACTTTACTTAGTCAATTTAATTTATTAGTTCCTGTAATACGACGATAGATCGAATATCTTGTATAACATAGTAGTAATACTATTTAATCTCTTCTAACACTAAATTCGAATTTAAATCATTTAATCTATTAATCTATTGTAAGATTTGTCGTAGTAAAGCCTGTTTTTAATTATAGTACATCTGTTGATTAAATAGAGCTATAGACAGGATTATAGAGCCTAGAGGATAATAACTATATTATAGAACCCTAGACTAATCTATAATGTCTAACTTAACCGCGCTTACAAGTAGTAAGAGGCTATAAGGCAAGAGTAACTTCTATACTTAAAAGACAGATGTATATAACATACTTAAAGCTAATAGGCTTAACAGGTTTATATCTAAGAAGTATCCTGTCCTTAAGTCTTATAAGTATAGCGATACTACTATAACAAAAGAAGAGCTAGATTAGTATAACAAATAGAGAGCTAGTAACGCTATAACGCGTTAGGTTATTAAAGAGAACATATCGTTAGTTCTAGTACTTAATCTTATAGCTAAAGTAGACTTAGTAGAGGCTATGTAGACTAAGCTAGCTAATTACTATAAGGGCAAAGGGTTTACTTAGTAGTATTAAGTAGTAGATAAGTTCTAGCTACTTAGATATAAGGACTATAATAATGTAAAGAAGTTTATTAACGCCTTTATAACTTAACTTAAACGAGCTATATAACTAGATATAGCGCCTAAGAGCGACTACCTGTATACTATTATCTTTATTAATCGACTTATAAAAGCCTTTCCTTAATAGGCTAAAAGACACTAATCCCTTTAAAACTTATAAAAGAGTAGTAAGAAAAGTACCTTATTACTTAACACATTAGTTATAGAGATTAAGGACAAAGCCCGGGTAAAGGACAGTAGATTAGTACCTTTATTAGTATTACTATATAGTAGTAAGCTAGATAATAAGAATAAGAAAAAGAGTAAGGGTAAAGATAAGGATAAGAAGAAGCTTAAGAGAAAGTAGTACTAACACTATAGTAAGCTTTACGTTATAAAGGATAAAGACGATTACTAGACTACGTTCCTAAAAAAGCGTCTAAAGAAGGACTAAAAGGAGTCTTTAAAGAGCGCTATATTACTCTATATAGTAGGTAATTAGTAGCCTTAGATTAATAGCGCGCTAGGCCTTAAGGCTTTAAAGGTAGTACTTAGATTAGCTACTTAAAAAGAGTTCTAAAAAGGGAACTAGTGCCTAGATATAAGGGTAACTTACTATATATGTAACGATAAGTCGATCTTCTATAGCTTTAAGGTAACTAAGTAGTTATAACCTGTTCTAATAGGCGCTAGATTAATCTAACTAGAGAGTTATAGTAATATCGTCCTAAAGGCTAAGGTAGAGGGCGATTAGTATTACGAACTACAGCTAGAGAGAGTTCTGTTTATTCTAACCTTTCTTATTAATCTCTTATTAGGTATTAAGCTACTATACTATAACAGATCTATTATAAAGAGAGCCTTTTTAGACAAAGAAGAAGAGACGCTTATACTTTATAAGGTCGACAATATAAGGGTATATCTATAGTTAGACTTGTCTAGCTACTATATTATAGTACTACTAGCTACTCTT